AAGCATTGACAAGTGAATAACATTAATTATATCACTACAATGGCACCTGTCATAGTGTGGGATATATTATGCAGCAACTGAACAGATAGTTCTTGAATGTCATGTGTTGGAAGCTGGAAAAATGGGCCAGTGAAAAGACCTTAGTGACTTTGACAAGGGCCAAATAGTGATGGCTAGACAACAGGCTCAGAGCACCTCCAAAACAGTGGTGAAAAATTGCTATTTAGTACGAATTAATTCGTACGAATGAAAATTTCACTGGTGCACATGTCTAGTAAATTGCCAAAACATGTAATGCGGGCCATGAGAGAAATTTGTCAGAACACACAGTGCATCACAGTTTGCTACATTTGGGACTGCATAACTGCAGACTGGTCAGTGTTCATGATGAAACCCTGTACACCACGGAAAAGCGCCATCAATGAGTATAGCGGACTGTGGGATTTGTTGGAATAACAGACCTGATCCATGGAAGCTCAACATTGCAACTTGCTGGACTTGAAGGATCTGCTGCTAATGCAGGGACGTAGAAACCGGGGGGATGGGGGTACGCATCCCCCCAGCAAATAATGCGGGGGGGACAGGTTATAGAGAAATCCCCCCCAGCTCCGCCGGCCGCGGGTGCCCTCGGGCTGCGTGCGGCTCCATCAGGGAACCGCACGCACTGAAGACTGGGAAAGGGAGCACCTCCCCCTCCACGCAGGAGCACCGCCCCCCCTCATGCTGCAGCCGCCCGAGCGCTCTGTAGAGAGCCTCAGGCGGCTGCAGCTTTGCCCGGGCTAGTGCGTCCATGAGGGTGCATCGCTCAGGTGCAGCATGAGGAGAGGGGCTGACAGGAGGGAAGCGCTCAGCGCTCCCTCCTGTCACTCCCTCACTGTAGCGTGGCTGAGCCCTGTATGGTCCGCAGGTACAGAGAGCATCTGTCTCCTGTACCCGGCCGGACTAACACTGAGTGTGCACTCTCCTGTTAGTCCGGCCAGGTACAGGAAACAAAAGCTCCCTGTACCCGCGGACCATACGGGGCTCGGCCACACTACAACAGAGGTAGGGGAGGGGGGAGAAATAAATTGACAGGCGGGGGAGAAATAAATTGACAGGGAGGGTGGGAGAAATAAATTGACAGGGAGGGGGGAGAAATAAATTGACGGGGAGAAATAAATTGACAGGGAGGGTGGGAGAAATAAACTGGGGGAGGGGGAGAAAGAAATTGACAGGGAGGGGGGAGAGAAAGAAATTGACAGGGAGGGGGAGAGAAAGAAATTGACAGGGAGGGAGGAGAGAAAGAAATTGACAGGGAGGGAGGAGAGAAAGAAATTGACAGGGAGGGGAATTGACGGGGGAGGGAGGGGGAATGAGAGTGGGGAGAGGGAGGGGAGAAGAGAGTGACAAGGGGGAGAAGAGAGTGACAAGGGAGGGGGGAGAAGAGAGGGACAAGGGGGGTAGAAGAGAGTGACAAGAGGGGGGGAGAAGAAAGGGACAAGGGAGGGGGGAGAAATTGACATCCATCACACACACACACAATCACACACAATGCACCCCTTACACACAAAGATAATGCACCCCTTGCACACAGAAAAACACACAATGCATTACACACAATGCATTACACACACAGACACACACACACAAGCAATGCATCCCTTACACACACAGAAACACAATGCATTCCTTACACACACTCAATGCACCCCTTACACACACTCAATGCACCCCTTACAGACGCACACACTGCATCCCGTACATACACAGAAACACACCTTGCAGCCCTTACACATACAAACACAGATTCACACAATGCATTCCTTACACACATATCAGGACATCCCCTACACACTCCACCCCATGTGAACAAACTCATTGGTGGAACATGAAGGTGGACGCGGGGACCCAGACCTTGAGCTGTATAAAGGGCCCCCAAAAAATGGAGCTGCTTCCCGTTCTCCCAGAACATTGATTTTTGTGACCACAGTTACAAACATCCTCCAGAGAGCCCATTCTACACCAGACCAGGGGAGCCAGACTGCAGCTAGAGCCCATCATCATCCTCATCTGGTTGTAAGTAGGCAATCTAGTATATTATTCATGGCACTAATCTCTAATTTACCTCACATTAAAGAAACACTATTGTCCACAGAACCACTGCAGCTTAATGTAGTGGTTCTGGTGTCTAAAGCCTGTCCCTGCAGGCCTTTTAATGGTGGCACTGCAGCACTGGCGTTAGTTAACATGGTAGATTATATGGGTGGCGCATTGTGATGTCACATGGGGGGGCCGGCAAACTTTACTTTTGCCACGGTGGCAAAAATCCTTGCACCGGCTCTGGCCGGGTGTCACGTGACTACCCGGTGCTCAGTCTGACACTGCCACCCGCCGGACGTCCAGAGGTCCCCCTGCTATGTCAGGTAAAAGGGGGGACAAAGGTAGAAAAATGATTGGAAGGGTTTAGGGGGGCTACTAATATGGATGTGAGGAGGGGGGAGGTAGAAAAATAATTGGAAGGGGTTAGGGGAGTACTAATATGAATGGAAGTGGTAGGGTGGGTTCTAATATGCATGGAAGGGGTTAGGGGAGTACTAATATGCATGGAAGGGTTAGGGGGGTTAATATGCATGGAAAGGGTAGGTGGGGTTCTTATGTGCATGGAAGGGGTAGGGGTGGTTCTAATATTCATGGAAGGGGTAGGTGGGGTTCTAATATAAATGGAAGGGGTAGAGACGGGTAGTAAAATGTATGGAATGTACTTTTGAAAGTGTCACTGAATGGCAGTTAGGAAATGTGGTCACCCTAAGTCAGGGGCAGTATTACACAATCTGTATATATATAAAAAAAATATAAAAAGTAATCTGTAAAGTACAAAATGTTTGTGTCATATGTCGTGCTAAAAATTAAGCTAGGAATGTGCATATTTTTGTATTTTTTTAAAATAATTTTTAGAATAATGATACAGACATTTTATTTCTTACATTTGAGATTATTCTTTTTCCCCCTCTATATTCAAGGGACACTATAGTCACCAGAACCACAACAGCTAAACGTAGTAGTTCTGGTGTCTATAGCATGTCTTTTTAATGTAAGCACTGCCATTTCGTAAAACGGCAGTATTTACATTACTGCTGAGGAATACCTCTAGTGGACATTTAGATGGCCACTAGATGTGCTTCCTAGTGGAGACATGAATGCCGCCCTATGAAGTATCTGCGCATGTGCAGCAAAGCTGCACAAGTGCACCAGAGAGCAATGACGCTTCTGAATAGAAGCGTTTTATTGCTCCCTGCTTGCACCCTCCTATTTAGTCAGTTTGACGAAATAGGGGGCGCGGCATCAGGAGGATCCCGGCGCTGTATCCGGGTAAGTAAAACCCCTTCCCTGTAGTGACCTTTTAATGTTATTATTTTATCATTTATATAGCGCCAGCAAATTCCGTAGCGCTGTACAATGGGATAAACAACTCCTAGTTTACGGAATAAGAATATACCCGGCGAGTAAAAATGCTATCCCCCCAAGATTTTTTGGGGTTCCTACGCCCATGTGCTAATGTCTTGGTGCCAGATACCACAGAACGTAATCAGAGGTCTTGTGTATTGTATGCCTCAATGCATCAGAGCTGTTTTGACATCTTGAGGGGGACCTACACAAAATCTGGCAGATGGTTTTAGTTGTGGCTGATCAGTGTAAGTATGTGTAAGTCTAAATAAGAGCGTATCCAGAGCCCGCCGTCAGAAATTTTGGGGCCCCTAACAGGGCCCGCCTCCAAACCCCGCCCACAGGAATACACAAACATAGACACAAACACACGCACTGGTACAAAAAGGACTCAGATACACACACACAAAGATACACACATATTGACACACACACATACTAACAGACACACATACTGACAGACATACATACAGACAGACATATACCGCAATGTGGTTGTCTATGGGACCCTGTAATTTCTGATAACAGCCTTGAGCACGGTAAGCTAATGAGTTTGCTCTGATGCTTAGCTCAGTGAAGCTAATGGAAGCGCAATAGTAGGGGCGGTCATCAGCCCTGCAGTCCCCACACCATACCAACTACAGCAGTGTTCCTTTAACCAAAATTTTGTTTTGCTGTATAAGCCTACCATAGAGGGCCTGTACGTCATGAACTGCAATGTTTCTCTTTTTTCATCAAAAATAATGCTGTATCTTTAATGACTGGTAATTGTAATTCATCTGATTTCTACAGTAAAAAAAAATGACCAGCTATATAGGAAGTTAAGCAAGTGATTGGCTCACATACTTCCTGCATTAGAGGGATTTCATTACAGGAGCTGCAAAGACTGTAGTTTTGCAAAAACAAAAGCAGGAATTTCAAATACAATTATCTTTTTTGTTTTTAATGTTTTTTTTTTAAAGCAATATTTATATATTGTATTCAAAACAATGGTTCAAATCTAGACTGTAGTGTCCCACTAGATAACATGAATGAAAGCTACACACACAACCTAATAGAAGCCAAAAGGGATTATGTACAGCTCTGTCTGCCTCCTGTTTAATACCAGGCAGCAGCTGCATATGTGCTCCAGGTCATGAGGTTTAATGAAAAAAGAAAAAGTGGAACATTTTGTGCAAGTTTACAAAAGCCACATAATTTAACGGTGATGCTTACCTGTGCCAAACTAATGAAACACCATATTCCCCACGGGTTTAATTATGGCACAGGAGCAACTCAGTTCTTTTTACTCTCGACAGCAGTTGTGTACATGCAAAAAGTTAATGCTTTGCTAGGTTTCATTCATGGTACATAAACAATCTAACTACCTATGCATGTAGAAGCCACTAAAAAAAAAGCTTCCTTTTAATGCATCACCTGCTGAGTGCGCCTTAAAAAGAATAAGAAACTGCCTGACCTCTCCTGTTAACATGTTACTGTTACAAGCAGGAAGCTGTGAGTAACACAGTGTGTCTGGTAACATGCACTATTAGGCTGACATATAAGAGAGATTACCCTGTGTCATCATTCGATCCACAGTGAGATGTGGATGGGTGGAGCTGCTCCTAATCCAGTCTGATAAGAGGTGGGGATGGGAGGGCCCTGGGCCGCTCTCTCCATGTTATTGCCTGTATGAGGGATGGTGCAAGCAGTAAAGGGTTCCCAGTCTCTCAGCCCTGCAGCAGGGAGACCTGATAACACCATGTGGGCAGCAGTGGTCCTGGGCATACTGACAGCCCTGTTCGCTTGGCTTTGGTTTGGTAGATCAGGGGAGGAAGAGGAGAGAAGAACAGGGTCACCAGAAAAGCAGCTCCAGCCTGTGGTGGAGGAGGAGGAGGAAGAGCAAGTAGCTATTGCAGAGGAAGGTGAGGACACCTGTGCGGGGACCAATGTAAAGCCCCAGCAGGAATGTGTGGGAAGTAAACAGCAGGAATTTAGAACATCCCAAACTTTGGACTCACAGCAGTATGTAGAGGGGGAAAGCCATCAAGAACTCCGCACAAATTTAACCGTGGACACCCAGCAGGATGGAAAGGGGAGCAATCTGCAGGAACTTGGCACACTTCTAACCATAGACCCCCAGCAGGATAACGAGGGGAAAAGCCAACAGGAACTCGGCACATCTCTGAGCATGGACACCCAGCAGGCTAGAGAGGGGAGCATCCTGCAGGAACTCGGCACAACGCTAACCATGGACACCCAGCAGGATAGAGAGGAGAGAAGCCTGCAGGAACTCGGCACAACGCTAACCATGGACACCCAGCAGGATAGAGAGGAGAGAAGCCTGCAGGAACTCAGCCCAACTCTAAGCATGGACACAAAGGAGGATAGTGAGGAGAGAAACCTGCAGGAACTCAGCACAACTCTAACTATGGAAATCAAGAATGATAGTGAGGGGAGCAGCCTGCAGGAACTCGGCACAACTCTAACCATGGACACCGAGAAGAATACTGAATGGAGCAATCTCAACATAATCTTGGACGCCCAACAGGAACTCGGCACAGTTCATAGTCTGAATTCCCCTCTGCAGGATAATGAGGGGACCAAACTACAGGAAATTATAACACCCCTACCTCTGGAGTCTCTGCATGATAGGAAGGGGAGCAATCAACAAGAACGCAGAATCCCCCAAACACTGGATTCCCATAAGGAAGTTGAAGTAAACAGGTTGCATAAACCTGACACACCCCAAACCCCTGACCCCCAGGAACAGAACAAAGAGAGCAAGCTCCAGGAGCCCAGGGCATCCCAAAGCCTGGAGACCAAGGAACAGAATGAAGGGAACAAGTTGCAGGAGCCCAGCACATCCCTATCCACAGAGCCCCAGCAGGAAATTGGAAAGTGCAGACTACAGGAGCTCAGTGCCCCCTTAAAAATGGAGGCCCAGCAGGAGAGTGCATGGAGCAAACCGCAGGATCTCCACACACCCATTGTGGATCAAGAAGCAACTGGTGAGACCCAATCTGTATTGGAAAATGAAGAGCTGGGACTGCACCCTAGAGAAATCCAAGAAACATGCCATGTAACAGGTAAATGTGACCCCAGCTGCTCCTATACTCCTTGCTGTCTGTTGCTACAAATGTTTGTGTTGGACGTGTACTGCTACTTAAAGAATGCTTCTAAAAGATGATTATTGCAAGGTCAAAGATTTTGACATTTTAGATAGACGTATTAACTGCAATATAACTGCCTAGACATTGCTTGCTAACTTCTGCTGGCATAGTCATTAACTAGCTAAACTCTGTTATGAGCTGTGTTTATAATTCTGAGCGGTTTATTCACTAAACAATGAATTGTATTCAATTGCAAACTGAATTGGAATGACTTGGGGAAAATGCACTACTTTTTATAGTAACATATTGGCTATCTTAAAATTGAATGTTTAATTGTTTTCCCTGTAGTTCACTGTTTAGTAATTAAACCATTAACCGTATCCTCATTTGTCCATCATGCCACTGTGTGGGAACCTACAGGTGTGTATATATAATATATAGATTTAGGTGGCTATATACATATAAATACAAGAGCCCAGGGTACTTGTGGGTGGGTACTCAAAAAGGACTAAAACTACACTAGTTAAATTTGATGTCTATAAAGGTTGGACTTGTAGGTTGATTATGTGTGGATAACTAGATGGTTTTAAGTAAACCTATAACTTATCACCAACACCTGTATTGAACCATGTTCTTCTTGAATATATCCTGAAACTTGGTTCTGGAATTATTAGCACTAGGAAAGGTTTGCAAAAAGGAACAGAAAATAAAATGTTTTGTGTGGCGGGAGTCTGGCATAGATAGGGTCCCTTTTATTGTGGAACTGTCAATGCTCTGCAAGTTAAAGTAAATGCTATTGAAGAATTTCCTGATCTGCATGTTTCTTCACATGGGTTAATTTAATTAAATGCTTTGCCCAGACAGCCAGGCAGGTCATGTCAATTTAAAAAAGAGAGGGGGAAAAAAAAGTGAAATTTGGCTGATAGTTTGTGCAGAAATCTCATGTGACCTACACCGGGGTCAGCAACCTATTTGGCTCTGGCAGCCTTGATTGCCATGCAAAGACACCTCGAGTGCCATGCATGGCACACGTGCCATAGGTTGCTGACCCCGGTGAGTCTCAGTGGAACTTTAGCTATCTGCTTGTGCAAACCGAGCTGTGATTGCAGGTGGTGAGGTACAATCCTAAATTTACACATTGCAGCACTTAGAGGAAGTGATCCACCCAGCACTTGTACATGGGAAGCCGCACTTGAGTAGAGTAGCTGCGCAGCTTGCAAGTCTGGTCCTCACTGGACCCCAGGAAAGCCACCTACAGTGTTTAGATATACACAGAGCTGCAGAAGGAGCCTCATCATAAACAAACCACACACAAACACTACTGACAATGCACATACACGCAAATAACCCCACAAGCTGCTTCACATGCAATGCAACAAACCACCACACACATGCACCACACTATTCTTGGTATTATACACAATACCACAAACTACTCCTGAACAGATAAAATATAAAAGCCCACATATGTACAAAACAACTGCAGCACCGAATACAGTAACATACACACCTCAATAAAACAAATATAGGACCGGCACACAAAGGGACTTTAAGAAATTGTTTTGGCACTGTACGTTGCCTACCCCTGACTGCACATTCACCTTGCCAAACTAATGCAGAAATTAGGAAGATTAAGTTTAGAAATGCCCATGGTATCTAGTTTTTACTTTGGATTCTAGAACATCCTCTCTCTCCCCTGTGTTATGTAACAGGTCTTTTCTCTCTGGTATGCATCTTTAGAGGCTTTGAGAACATGCAGGTGTTAAATGCTATCTTCCCTATTGGAGGGATGGGTGTGCAGGTAGAACCTACCCAATTTGAGACTTTGTTTGCAAGGTTCTGATTGAAAAGGCAGTATTTTTTTCTTGTCTACAATTATGTTTGTACACACTAAGCTGTGGAGTATAGCAACCAGTGTGTTGCGTTCCAGGAGCAAATGTACAAGATTCTTTTAGATGGCAGTATTGAGGATGGGTAAAATGCCAGCAGACTGTGGTTACCCAAGGTTCTTGCATACACACGAGGACCTGCCCCCCAAGGTCACCTTGTATTGGAATTGAAATTGGGACCTTTTTTGCCACTGTCTTCCATAGCTCCTTGATTTGAACCCGTGGTAGATTTTGCTTTTCTGCCCAATCAAGGTTTTTCCAAACAACTCCTAAAAGTTATTTAATAAGATCATCTTGGTGGCTTCCACGTCCCTCACTGCGGGATGGGACATAAATTGGGGAGGTCATTGCCAAGGTCACTGAGTTATCTATGGACAAGCTTACAGCTATAGTCCATAATACCCTTCCCTCTTTTCATAAGAATTGTGACCCCTTGTTTGAGATCTGATTTAAAGGAACACTATAGTCACCAAAAAACTTTAGCTTAATGAAGCAGTTTTGGTGTATAGATCATGTCCCTGCAGCCTCACTGCTCAATCCTCTGCCATTTAGGCATTAAATCACTTTGTTTATGAACCCTAGTCACACCTTCCTGCATGTGACTTGTGCAGCCTTCCTAAACACTTCCTGTAAAGAGTCATCTAAAGTTTCTTTCCTTTATTGCAAGTTCTGTTTAATTTAGATTTCCATATTCCCTGCTATGTTAATAGCTTGCTAGACCCTGCAAGTGCCTCCTGTGTGATTTAAAGTTCAATACACAGAGAAAGAGATACAATCGTTTAAGGGAAATTACATCTGATTGAAAGTGAAACCCTTTTTTTTTTTTTTTCATGCAGGCTGTGTCAGTCAGAGCCAGGGGAGGTGTGTCAAGGGCTGCATAAACAGAAACGTGATTTAACTCCTAAATGGCGGTGAATTGAGCAGTAAAACCTGAGAGGCATGATCTACACACACAAACTGCTTTATTAAACTAAAGTTGTTTAGGTGACTATAGTGTTTATTTAAAACAGGACTTTTTGAGGGTATCTTCTAATCCATTGCAGCAAGTGATACTCCTTCCTCCCCTTTCTCAGTAAGGTTATGTATGAGAAACTTCTGGGACAGTGTTCTAAAAGTGGAGTAGTTGCCATGGAAACAAACAGAACATTCCTGATGATCCCTGCACTTTGCCCATTAGTGCACTATGTTTACATTTTTAAATGCTCTGTTAATACTGCTTGCCTGGGTCTTGCTTGCTTTTCCTACACAAATCAATGTGATTTGACTTTAGCTTGTTCACTGACCTAGCATTTCTTTTTATAGCAGTTGGAATGTTAAATTCCTTATATGGTAAGCCACTCTGTTTTATGCAGAAACCAAGAATAACTAACTATACCAGCTGTATCTCTGAAAAACACAGATTTTCTATATAAAGCATGTGTTCGGGTTTTTGTTCAAACTACACCAGCTTTTTGCAGTATAAAACTTGACTATCTTGCCCCTGGAACATCATATGACTGCTGCAGGTAGCAAAACGTTAAGCCCCTAGATCGTTTGGTTGCGTTCTGCTGTTGTGGCTAGTTGCAGACATGCAAATGTATGGGTTTTCAGTTTGACCTCACCGAGCCCAGATTCTTTGACCTTGTGGAGCTTGCATGCTTTGTTTTCATTGCTGGAGCAGCACGTTTAATGGAATACATAGGGGAACAAATCTGGCGGGGCTTCTGTTGGATGTGGTCCACTCAGTGGCTACATTGGGAATGTGGACATCAATAGACTTCCCCTTCCTCCAAGTCGGCTTTCTAAACTGGGTTCGATTCCTTTTACTAATGGAAATTGGAAGATATTGGCAGATGTAGTACATTTAAAACTAGTTAAAAAGTTATTATAGCATCTGATTGCAATGACACGTGTATGCAGTCCATTTGGGGAAATAATTGGGCAACACTCAACATGATTCACTTTACAAGTGGCATAGTTTCAGTAATGAGCAGCTTTATGTCAAAATGGGGGTATACCCCTTTAATTGACACAGTAATTGAAATTAGAAGATTTATTTCACTGCATTCTGAGGTTACTGGGACACATACAGCTTTTTTTTTTAGTGAGAAACACAATGTTTACGTTTGTCGCTAAGAATGCCTCTACTGGCTGTCAGACAGCAACTATACGCACTTCCTTCTGAAAACTTTGAAACGTTGAAGGTTTTTCTTTTCGCCATAAGAGAACACAGTGAATATATCACCTACCGTATCTTCCGGCGTATAAGATGACTGGGCGTGTAAGACGACCCCCAACCTTTCCAGTTAAAATATAGAGTTTGGGATATACTCGCCGTATAAGACTACCCCTCTTCCAATGCACACCAAATAAAAATTAGCAATGATGTACAGTGAGCAGGCAGAGCTACACAGCAAGACATTAAATAATGATAATCTGAAATAGCATTTAAAGCACAGGTATGTGCCAGGCTGTTTGGGCATATAATCCATGCCTGCTGGTCTAGCTAATTGTGATATATTCTTTTTACTCCCCCCCAATCCTTCCTACGTTCTTCTCACCTCCTCTTCCCTGTGCAGAGTGGGTGGCTGAGCTCCTCTTCGTCCTGTCAGGCCGGGTACCGCGCGGTACAGGAGATTGTTACCTGTTCCCGGCCGGACTGAAAGGAAGTGAGCACTCGTCTGCTTTCTGTAACCTCCTTTGGCCTTACGCAATGGTCCAATCTAGCAACCCATACAGCAGGAAACACTCTTGATCTTGCCTTCACCAACCTCTGTACTGCCTCTAATCTCTCCAATATTCCCTTTCCTCTATCTGACCACCATCTGCTGACTTTTGACATTGGCATACCCAAGACCCAATTGACACCACCATCTGAACATCACTCTCACAGAAACCTCCAATGTCTTGACCTAGAGCATTTCTCCACTAATCTCCAAACTCTCCTTTTACATATCTCAAACCTCACCTGTCCTAGTTCTGCAACCTCCTTCTACAATTCCAGCCTCTCCTCTCAACTAGACATCATGGCCCCTTGTACATTTAAACACCGCAGGCCCCCCAACAACCCTGGCACACCAAGCTCACTCGATACCTCCAAAAATGCTCCAGAACTGCTGAACGCTGTTGGAGACAGTCTCACTGTGCATCTGACTTTCTCCACTATAAATTTATGCTGAGCTCATACAGCTTGGCTTTTTCCTCTGCAAAAGTTAATTACTTCAATACACTCATAACCACACTCTCCTGCAAACCCAAACGACTATTTCACACATTTAACTCTCTTCTTCCCTGCTGTTCCTCCTCCACCTACTAACTTGACCGCCTCAGACTTTGCAACTCACTTCACTGACAAGATCTTTCTTCTTCCCCTTACAATACTTCCCCTAATTTCACTCCCTCTGCTGTTGTATGTTAATTCGCACCCGCTACATTGGAAGAGGTTTCTGCTCTGCTGCAGTCCTCCCGCCCCACCACCTGCTCCCTAGATCCAATTCACTCGCATCTCATCATGTCTTCTTCTTTCTCCACCTCTCACTAAAATTCTCAATCTCTCTCTCTCCTCTGGTATATTTCCATTGCCCTTCAAACATGCAACTGTAACCCCAATTCAAAAGAAGCCCAATCTTGACCCTAACTCCCCATCCAACTATCGTCCTATCTCGCTACTGCCTTTTGCATCCAAGATCCTTGAAAAAATTGTGTATGTGAGATTGACAGACTTCCTAGAGTCCAACTCTCTGGATTGCTAAGCACTCTGTGGAAACAGCACTGACCAAAGTATCCAATGTTCTACTCGCTGCAAAATCTTGTGGTCACTACTCTATCCTAATTCTCCTTGACCTGTCTGCGGCTTTTGACACTGTTGATTATCAACAGCTTCTTCTCATCCTCCGCAATATCGGTCTACAAGATATTGCTCTCTCATGGTGCTCCTCCTACCTCTCCCAGCGCTCTTTCAGTGTTTGTTTCTCTGGCTCTGCTTCTTCTCCCCAACTCCTCTCTGTTGGTGTCCCCCAAGGTTCCGTCCTTGGTCCCTTACTGTTCTCCATCTATACTGCCTCTCTTGGTAAACTCTAGCTCCTTTTGGCTTCCAATATCATTTCTATGCAGATGACACGCAAATCTACCTGTCCTCTCCTGATCTCTCCCCGTCCCTCTTGACTAGTGTCTCTGACTGCCTCTCTGCTGTTTCTAACTGGATGGCTGCCCACTTCCTTAAACTAAATTTGACTAAAACTGAAATTCTGGTCTTTCCTCCCTCAAGTGTTGTTACTCCTGTGTCTCCCTCCCTCCAAGTCAACGGTGCTACCATCAGCTCCACCACGCTGCCTAGATGTTCTCTTTGACTCCGACCTCTCCTTCAAGCCTCATATTCAATCTATCGCCAAATCCTGTCATTTCCATCTCAAAAACATTGTGCGCATCCACCCCTACTTAACGCCAGATGCGACTAAGGTGTTGGTCCATTCCACTGTCCCTTCCTGCCTTGACTACTGTAATCCGCTTCTCAGTGGTCTTACGTGCTCCCAACTAGTGCCGTTACAGTCCATAATGAATGCGGCGGCGAGGCTCATCTTCCTGTCTGCCCGCACCTCCCACCCTTCTGTCAATCCCTACATTGGCTTCCTATAAAATATAGAGCTCAACTTAAAATTCTGGTTCTTGCTTTCAAATCTCTACATAATGCTGCTCCCACCTATCTATCCTCCCTTATACACAAGTATGTCCCGTCTAGGCCCTTACGATCTGCTGAAGACTTACGTCTATCTTCTGTCCGTACTCCCACCTCTGATGCTCGCCTTCAAGATTTCTCGAGGGCTGCACCGTTCCTGTGGAACTCGCTTCCCTCCTCCGTTAGATGCTCACCCAGTCTCCACTCCTTCAAAAAATCGTTAAAAACCCACTTCTTCATAAAAGCGTATCAATTAAACTGTTAATAGCTCCTGACTGATTCCTCTTCTGCAACTGTCATTAGTCTAATACTATCCTTACCTTTGTGTGTCATTTTACCCCACTCCCTCTCTAGCATGTAAGCTCATTGAGCAGGGCCCTCAACCCCTCTGTTCCTGTGTGTCCAACTTGTCTGGTTCCAAATACATGTCTGTTCATCCACCCATTGTAAAGCGCTGCGGAATTTGATGGATAATAATAATAATAATAATAATAATAATAATCCCGGCATATAAGACGACCCTCGACTTTGGAGAAGATTTTCCAGGGTTAAAAAGTCGTCTTATACGCTGGAAAATACGGTATATAAGCCCTGGATTCTGTTCTGATCTATAGAAAACATTCAACTGGGTGAGCATGACTTCTGCTGTGCACTGTAGGGCACGGCTTGTCTGAGAGGCATTGGATTGGACTGAGATGATCTGTTAGGATGATCTCAGAATAGGAGTGGTGGCCACATGGCGCTGAATGAAAGGCAAATCTAACTATAAAGTATGGATCCAAAAATCTAAACATGCCGGGGAACACTGTTATAAAGAACTATTTATTTTAAAGCTTGGTCTGTATGAGTGCATGTGTGGCTCTGCAGGAGCTATGTAATTTAAATGCTTTACCTAGTGTGTCAAACACAGCTTGTGAATTAAAATTAAAGAGCATTATATTGTATTTGTTTTTCCTTTCCACGGATGACTAATACATACTTTAGCTAAGTGATACTGTCTATTAATTAACTGCAAAGCATGCCTCTGTAAAACTGGTTGTAGCATGAAATATGATAAATCTAATTCAGGAAGCAATGGCTTAGAAACTTGTATTTTTAAATTGGAGGCATTTTAATTTATATTTTAACTGGCATAACTTTATTTTGCAATCTAGGAGAAGAGCTGGATGAAGAGGTGGCAGAATATAAGCCAGAACATATTGAAACTGCTGAAGAAACACAAAGTGATTTGTTGACTAGTGAAGTTCTAAAAGAGTCTCCTCACAAAGAGAAAGCTATGGAGTTAAATAGTCATTCTATTACACATGAGAAGATTGAAGTAGACCTGTATAAATCTGCTGAAGTATCAGAAGGTGACATGATCACTGATGTCTTGACAAATGGTCTTGAAACTCCTATCGATCCTTGTGTTGCTATGACTGATGGTGATGTGTGTGGAGAGGTACTAGATCATGAAGCAATCCAGTCAACCAACACATCTGAAGAATTTAGACCTGTTGAGTTATTGAATATTGATATTTGCAAAAGCAAAGGTGTACAAGAGATGAACAACACTTGTATCCGTTTGTCTCACCAACAAGAAGATTCTTCTGAAATCCATGGGCTGAACATAAATGATGATGCTGTCGGCCTAGGAAATCTATCTGACGAAGACATTAAGCCATCAGAAGCTGATCATGTAAAGGTGAAGAAGGTTGCGGCTGTGCAGCCAATGCCACAGAATGTGAATGTTGGTTTCAAAGTGCATTATATCACTCACACGGACTCTCAACACATTGCAGTCACTGGTGATCATGAGCAGCTTGGTGGTTGGGATGACTATATCCCACTGACATACGAAAAAGATGGTTTCTGGTCGCATTCTGTTCTGCTTCCTTCTGACGCCAATGTGGAGTGGAAGTTTGTGATGGTGGAAAATGGGAAGATAAGACGCTGGGAAGAGTGTACCAACAGAATCTTAAAGACTGGACATGATGATGTCAATGCTCACTTGTGGTGGGGCTATCACTGAGTGACATACCCCAAAAATATCCTTCCCAGTTTTACTGTAGTAGGCCCCTTGATCCTCCACTTCCAACACCTTTCCCCATGCAATGAATGGAATGTTCTGAGTTAGGACGGGGTTTCCTTCTTTATTCAACTGATTCAGGATTGTTAGTTTAATAATTACCAGGGACAACTAGGATATTGAGAGTGTGTTGACATGTTGGGCAAACAACCTTTTGACCCATATTATGAAAGTTATATTTTAGCCCAGAGTCAATAGTTTGTTCTTAAATGTCATAGCTTAAAATTGCAATATCATGAATAAATGCTGCTATTTATACATTTTTATTTATTCCCACCCCTATCCTTATGTTCCATTAAGTACAAATTTAAACAGTCATGCACTTTGTAATGGTAATATTCTGTTAAATGACTGAAGAGTAAGGTCAAGTGAAATATTAAATTACAAATTAAATGGATGTTCACTTCATGGATATTTTGGCTTAATGGCTGAAGATAGTATATAAAGTAGTTAGAAAGCTTCACCTCAGATATTCCATATTTTCTCAAAGCTTTTGATTCCTATGTTTTGTGCACATTAAAAAAAATAGCTTTTTCTCTTTTTTTTTTTTTTTTTTTTTAAAAAATTTTTTTTTTTTTTTTTCCCCATCTCCATCCTAGGAAAAGGTGCCACTGAAGAGAGAACCCAATGCACACATCCATATTTTTTTTAATATACACTATGTTTGTTATATCTGTGAACTAGTTGAGTTGAAACATCTGGGGCTTCAGACTTGCATTCTAATCCAATTTTTCTTTTTTTTCTTTTTGTGAATAAGATTCTGTAAATCAAAGTTACAGCTGAAGAAACAAGCTCTTATTTGATTTTAATAAAAAAAATACTATGTCATTTTAATGGTGTTGGGAAAAATTTAAAGTTTTGAGGTACCCGTCAATACTTATGCTTTTTTTTCTTCTGAAGTGTCTAAATAAAATGGGAAGTACAAATCTGCATAGTTCTTAATTTTCTAGTTTCTGGTGTTAAAGCTAGTAAAGCCATACTGCAAGTCAAAAAAAGTTAATCTAAACAAGTATACTGCTACAAGAAACCTATACAAGGATATTCGCTAGAGTGAAAATCCAAAATAAATTCAAATTTAAGACCAGAGTAGCAAAACTACAAGCATAGCTGACTTATTTTTTTTTTTTTTTTTTTCTCTCTTAAGGGTCACTGTAAACACCAAAACCATTATCACTCAATGTACAAGCAGTCCATGCACCCTGAGAATGGAAGCATTGCTGTTAGAGAGAAATGAAGATTCTTACACTTGTCAGTTGGTGTGCCAGTCTGACCGCAGCTAGAGGTACTTACCCATAAAATGCCTTTCATTTTCTGAAGGCGTTCACATGCAGTGTCATAATGACACAAAACACCAATAAATCTCCCCTTAGAGAGGCATTGGGATCATATTTCTCTATGCAGCTCTTCTTGACCACTAGGGTAATTGCTGTGCCTGTTCCTTCAGACGGCAATGCTTCTCTGTGGGAAGTATTGTACTAGATCATCCATCCAGGTGATATCAAAAGACGACTGAGCTTGGGACAGTCTAGTTTTTTTTTTTTTTTATTCTTTATTTTTGTTGTGCAAGAATTTACAACAGTGTCTGCGTAGCCACAATAGCCGTAACAGACGCCTTCAAATACGACATTCAAAAACATTTCCGTGGCTTATTTAAACTTAGCACGTTTTTATCATTTAAGGATCATTGTAACAGCATTCAAGTGGCTAGGTCACATGTTGGTCTACGCATTTAATATATATATATATATATATATATATATATATATATATATATATATATATATATATATATATATATATATATATATATATATTATATATATATTAGTATGTAACCCGCTTATCTATGTATATGAGGTTGACAGGCTAGTAGGTAATGTTTATGTAGTATAACACGCTAGGGTAGGTATGCCTTTAGAAAAGCTAGTCAAGCTTAAGGTTATAATTGTGTCGTTTGTATGTGGTGCGACCTGTACGTCCTAAAAACCTAGTGGCGTGATTAACCAATTCTCAAGCTGGTGGAGGCAGCGTTCTATCATGTGAAGCAGGTGTGAGTAGTGTGAGATCCTACTAGCCACCAGGTACGATTCGCATGGTGTAGTTAATATAAAAGAAAACTGTTGCTGTGCGTGGGTGACATGGTCATTGTTTTCCTGGCCGCCGAGCACAGCAAGGCATGACAGGGTGAAACATGCTTTTGAGTTCACAGCAAAATTAAGGTAAACAATAAGCTAATTAAAGGAATAAAATAATAAAGCAATAAAATAACAATAAAACCGCTAAAGCAATTTAGGTAGGTGCTTCTGGTGTAGCTGCAAGACAGTTCAACTCATGTCCCCATAGTAGGGCCTTTTCCCTTTGGGACCTGCCTGTAGCTGCTTTAGCCCAATCCCACTTCTGGTAGGTTGTCGGTCCTGGGGTGCAGAAGTCCGCTAGTGTCTCGATGGGGCTTGGTGCCGTGATGTGGGTTGAGATGGATCGCGGCAACCGTGCTTGGCTTTTCTCGGCGTCTGTGCTATATATTAAACGAGTAAAAAAAATTTAAGTGGGGAGTCTCAGATGAGATCTATGAACTTGGCGTTATTATGGTTAGGCAATCTGTTTGGCTTGATGTTCCCGTGCCCCCTTCCGGATCTCAGGTACCCATCGCGTGGCGGACGGCCCTCTGTGCTTTAAATGTGGTGGAGGGCAAGGTGGAGGCCCCAGAGGGCTGGAATGCTTGGACGTTGGCCATGTCCCAGAAGTGAGGGGGTTGTTGTCTCGGGGCTTGGGTGGTGCTAACCGGGTTCGTCGGTAGCCCCAGAGTGGTCAGTACGGAGTCCATTTCCGCTGCGTCCATTAGGCGGGTTGTTGCGCCCCCATGAGAGATGACCAGGCTCCTAGGGAATGCCCATCGATATGGGATAGAGTGTTGACGGAGCGTGGCTGTTAGTGGCTTGAGCCGGCTTCTCCATATCACTGTGGGCCTGGACAAGTCCTGATAAAAGAATAAGGTAGCATTTTCAAATGGGTAATTTGCCTTGTTTCTCACAGCAGTCATAAGGGTCAGTTGGGCTGCCCGTGTTCGTAGCTGCAGGATGACATCCCGTGGGGTGTCTGCTGGTGCTGTGGCGGCTCTCGGGATGCGGTAGGTCCCATCTATCTCAGTTAGGCGTGCTTGTTGTGTTGAGAGCAGGGAGGCGAGCAGTCTCCCGACGTAGTGTGTCAGGTCGCCTGAGGCCACAGTCTCCGGGATACCCCGGATTTTTACATTTCTGCTCCTGTGCTGGTCTTCTAGTGCGTCTAGGTGGCTGGTGAGGTGACTGTGCGCGCCGCATCTCTGTGTTTTGGGCTTCCAGTTGTGTACACCGGGCGGAGAGGTCTTTCGTTTCTCCCTCTGTTGTTTTGACGCGCCCCTCTACTGTTTGTATTTCTTCTCGCAGTGTGGCCACATCTGCGGCAAACATTTCGCGGAGGTTGCGGAGCAAGGCTTTGATATCCCCCTTCGTGGAAGGCAGCTCGCTATCTTCGTCGGAGGACGGGAGGTGTTAGCCCCCTGAGCTCAGGAATTCATCCAGCTCGTCCATTGCTTGGTCCTCGGAGGAGGCCGAGGCCGTATCGCCATTTTTTAAAAAAAAATTTTTTTTTGCCGCGGCGTGGTTTAGGGTCTGTGCAGGTCGGAGGAGAAGATCCCCGATGTCTCGTGCCCCTGTCGGTCTCGGGGTTCCCTGGTGTTTTGTCTTCTTCCCCATCTCACTGTGACCCGATAGAGGCTGAGGTTGGAGTGTTTCAGGTGGTTAAATCGCTTATTTCAGGCTTAATTCTGCGGAGCTCTGGCACACGTCTGTTCTGTATGGCTGCTGGCTCCGCCTCTCGACAGTCTAGTTTTTAACTTCATGTAACGTCTGTGAACAATAAAATTTACATCACAGCAGATTTCAGTATACTCTACAGCAGTGTTCCTCAACACAGTCCTCATGGACCACCAACAGTCCAGGTTTTGTCAGTACCTCCATTGGAATAAAACAGGGAAATACATAAATCCTGAACTGTTGGTGGTCCAGGAGGACTGGGTTGGGGGAACACTGCTCTCCAGTTATGCAATGGAGACACAGTGGTGGCAGTTTTTTAAATAGAGCTTGTTTATCAATTTCAAGAAGTATAGAGGAGAAAGCTGGAGCTGCTGAGGCTTTCCAGATTATTGCAATAGTGCTGTTCAATCAGAAGGAAATTGAATATCTGTTTTTGTTCACATATAGGTATCTGCTCATGTAGGTGCAGCAGGAAAAAAGGAAGTGGTGTGTCTTGTGGCTTCTAGGATTAATTGGTTGATTTAAAAAAAAAAAAAAAAAAATATGGCTACACTGCCAGCAGACATGTAACATACTGCCCTCTGCAAGGTCACATCTCTAGCATAGAGAGGACGAGTGAGGGAACGTCAGCCCCATGTACTATCTGTACCGGGGTAGGCAACCTTTAGCACTCCAGCCAGCATATTGATAGAGCATAAATTGGAGGTGAATTCTAAAACATCTGGAGTGCCGAAGTTTGCCTACCCATGATCTATACAATACTTTTTTTTTCTGCTGTTCCGACAAAGTAGCAGATTTGATAAATTTCTTGGTTGCCATGATCAGTTTATCCTATAGTTTTTGGGCGATGGAGCAGTTTAGATCAGCAGCCCATTGTCAAGCTGGTGTCGAATCAGAGCAAGGGGTGCAATTTAAAAGGTGCCAGTAGCACATTAAGATCGGTTGACAAAGAGATTAGCTGTTTAATATAAATCTTTTCCCAAGCATTAAAGTCATGGCTTATGTCAGGCAATAAAGCACCTCGTGGCTGACCTGTAAGTAAAAAGGATTGTAATTGCCTGCATGAGAATTGTTTTAAATTACTTTTATTTTGATAGCAGAATAAGAGGTAACGGATTACAAATTAAGATCAAAGGCTCATGTTTGTATATGCAGAGGCATATCAGCCAATGTAGACAAAATAACATATTTCAGAACAATTCGTACATAGGTAATAGAGAGCCATTTGCAACATCTTAATACCAAATCTGCGCATGATGATAGAAAGACATGTAATCGAGTTCTAGTTTTGTAGTATAAAACAAGGTTAACAAAGAGTGGTTGACCAGTTTGTTGAAATAAAATGCACAGGTACCGAGTAAAAGTTGTTGAATACAACACTTAGAATATTATCTGGGATATTAGCAAGCCTTTATATTGAACTCCCAACTTAGTTGGCTTACTACGTTGCAGGCTGTCTGACAATTGTGATGTCAGTGGGAGATCGTATGTTCACCTCAGGGTTAAGAAGTCATTTAATCCTAGTTTGGGTAACTAGGTGATATGTGTGAAACACCATTTGTTTCAAATGGAAAGTAGGGATACAGTATAGGTAAGCCATAATTGGAGTTGCTAAGGAGATTAAGGTAGAGTTGCTCAATTTGGATCTATTCATATCCCACACCAGCAAAGTTAACTTCACCTGTGTGGGTGCCAACAGGGCAGACGGTCTAAAGAGCTTCGGTAACCACATCAAGCTCTGTAGGTCTAGTGGTCTCACCATGGCTCTCTCAAGCAAGACCAATTGCGGGGTGGGGGAGTTATTAGAACTGTGGAAGGGCAGAGGCCAGGATAGCAGCATTCTCTTTATTGTCCCCACTCTCGCTGTCCTAGATAAAAATAATGATGCCCAATTGCGTAAAAGACATTTACAATGATTCCAGACTTTAATGCAATTAATGGGGAAAAGATCTACGGCATTTTTAGGTAACGTTCTACCCCCCACCCCCCCAGTTATTAAAAAGGATCTTTTCTCCATTCGAGGGGTATATATGTTTAAAGTGTTCAGTAATATGTGAGGGGAGTCCCATACTTTGTGCCTGTTTTTAACACGTGTTTAGGGAGTAATAGGATACTCAGCCCTAGTCTAGAATCAAGCTTTTTAGAGGGCGTGGGAGTCCATTGGGCTGGAAAAGTAGATAAGAATATCAGCACACTGTTCTTGATGACTTTCCCACTCACTGCAGTACCTTGTATAACAGGGTGCACCCTAATGTTTTCGAGAGAGGGCTCCAGAGCCAGTACATACAGCATTGGGGACAAGGGGCACAGAAAAGCCTGCTTGCATAACTTGTGCGGTGCGGGCTGTGTATAGCGCAAATATTTGTAAAATTATTTGGTGAGGAAGCCCATACTTCATCAAGACTTCTCTCAGACAGGCCCAGCCAAGGCGGTCAAACATTTTCTCTGTGCCTACAGCCGAGTACCCATGAGTTTCTTCATCACCAAAGTCAATTGTCGAGTCCCTGTCTCCCCATTAGCCTGCTTGGCCATTGTTGATAATAGTAGGTAATGTAGAACCCATTCTATTGACTAAGATTTTTGCGTACATTTTTGTATCTGTATTAAGTAGATATATGGGTCTGTAATTTTTGCATATGTCTGAGGGCTTATCATGTTTGGGAATAGTGACTATGGTGGTAAGTAACGTTTACAACGGCAGTGACACCGTGATTGTGGCTTGGTAAAAGACTTTTAGAAGGTGTGGAGCTGGAATTTCTGCAAATTTCTTATAATAGGAATTGGGAAGACCATCTCCCCTGGGGATTTACCTGGAGGGAGCCTCTGGATTAAATCAAGGAGCTTAGATGTGTAGTTGATTGGAGCAGTACTGCAAACTGGGCAGGGTCAAGTAGCGGGAGATTCATTTTGGAGAGATAAGCTTGGATGTCCTGGTCAGTTGGGTTATGTGTTTCACCGTCAGCCAAGAGGTTATATAGCTTTGAGCAGAAATTTGCAAATTGGTGACTAATGTGTTGGGGACTTATGATTTTCCTTCCACTATAATCAGTAATACAAGCTATCTTGGACACCTGCAGTTTACTTTGGAGTCTAGAGGCAAGAAATTTTGTTGCTTTACAGATGTTATGGTACAAGGTCACCCAGAGTTTGTGTAAGAATTGAGTTGTTTTGGCCGTGTTAATTTAAGTTAGTTGTGCGTACAAGGTCCGAAACTGAACAGCTAAACGATCTGAGGGTTGTTGTTTAGTTTGGTTGGAGAGTAAAGCTATCTGTTTATAACCGTCTAAAAGAGTGGCTTGGTGTTGTCGCTTAATTTGAGAAGAGTGTCTTTTGAACAGTCCTCATATTACTGCCTTATGAGCAGCCCAAACTATGACAGGTGGTTCCCTCAGAATTGCAGGTAAAGTAATCTTTGAGTTCCCTGTCTATGGTGGATGTAAATGTAGTGTCTGCTAATAGAGATTTGTTTAGTCACAAGGTTCCCCTACCTTTGTATTGGAATCAAATAGATCAAGGAATATTGGGCTATGATCTGACCAAGAGATAAGCACTATCTTACGATCAGACAGCTGTGCCAAGGCAGTATGATCCAGGAGTGCATATGTATTGTGGACTCTGGAATAGAACGTATAGTATTGATCCCCAGTATAGTGTTCTCCAACTATCATACAGATCATAGGAGGAGAGTAAATTGGACAATTCTTTGCATTGAGTAGCCAAAAGTTTTTTTCCTATGACCTCTGAGGGTGGCTGAGGTATCTTGGGTAACAGATTGGATACATTTTAAATCCCCGCAAAGGTTGAGGCCTCCCTGCTTATAGTCGTCAATTATGTTTAAAATTGAGCGGAGAGATCATTCAGACTTATCAGAAACCAGGGTATACTGTATATTATTGGTGATAAAATATCACCAATAATATACAGTAAGATGATATATATATATATCTGCCTTGTGGGTCAATATAATGTCTTTGAACGGTAAAATTTATTTCCTTACTAGTGCAAATAGAGACACCTTTGGATTTGTTAACCGAGAGAGCATGATATTGCGTTTAATATTTTGTGAGTTCTGCCGCGTGTATGGTGTTTCCTGAGATCCTGGACAAAGTAGACCGGGTACAGGGGAATTTAGCCCCTTCATGTTGTATGTCATAATTCTCATATGTCCGTATAATAAGATTCGCTATTGGTAACTCTAGAGAAAAGCCTCCGGAGGACCTCAGTATGAGGGTCTTACCTGAGGTGGAAGTCTGTAGCGCAGATATAATATACACCAATAGACCACCCAGGTGCAGCAATAAATGTTAAAATAAAGGTAATTACTTCCCTTAAATCATAGGTAGTAACTAAGGATTCCTCAAAAACAGGTATGTAATACAAGATACACCTAAAAGTAAAAACAGAGACGAAAAAGACTCATAGGGAAACACCGTGAATCAATGTGGGCCCCTAATAGTAATGGTGCACTCACAAGATGTATGAATTATTCAAGGCCGTCAATATTTCTTTAAATTTTCTGCGGTAGATATTTTGTTTGGATCTCAATATCCAAGGGTGCATGCAAAGAAAAAAGAACTGGACATAGTAGTACAGCAATGCTTCAAAGTATAAAAAGACACGCTTTAATTAAATACACTTACAAGAAGTAAGGAGTAAAAATGCCCATCTGTAAATCTCTGTGTTTCTCTGTTCAAGGTGGTATGAAGTAGAGAGAGATCACAGGAATCACAGTCAGAATTAAAATAACCAGCTCAACGCTTTTTCGTCTACTTACAATGTATACTTCCTCAGGAGAAAGTAAATTATAAAATCAATTATTACGTAGCATTTTATTCATTGTAATAATTGATTTTATAATTTACTTTCTCCTGAGGAAGTGTCTACATTGTAAGTAGACGAAACACATTGAGCTGGTTATTTTAATTGGACAGAGAAACAGAGATTTACAGATGGGTGTTTTTACTCCTTACTTCTTGTAAGTGTATTTAATTAAAACGTGTCTTTTTATACTTTGAAGCATTGCTTTACTATGTCCAGTTCTTTTTTCTTTGCATGCACCCTTGCATATTGAGGTCTGAACAAAATATCTACTTTTAGTTATTCCAGTTTTATTACAGTTTCAATATATACTGCTCACCTTGCTTAGAGTCACTGAAAAAACAGGCTCTAGATGTAAAAACTTGTAGCCCACTAAAGGTGGGCAAGCCTTCTTTCCCAAAGTAGGTGGAAGGAATAACCAGTAGGGCTTAAGTATCCAAGTTTGATTATTAAAGAACATTGGTTAAAAACAAATAAAATAAATATGAATACCTTTTCTACCCCTGGCGAAGGTGCATTAGAAGCACCGAAACGCGCGTCGGGTTCTTGCTTAGCGTTCACTTTTTTCTACACATGGTGGCACTAGGTTTTTGAATCACCTTTATTTTTTTTATTTTTATTCAGTACTGAGTTATTTTACTCTGGGGGGGATTAGCAGTTAGATACTATCCCTTGCTTGTCCTACCTTCTAGGGATAGCTTAGAACACCCTCTAAGGTGTTTGTTTCAGTAGTGATAGGATATTATAGACACTTACTGTCTCCCTTACCTGTCTACATACTCCTCAATGCTAACCTTATGAGTGACAGAGATTTTGCATGAGAGATTTTTTCCTGGTGCATTAGTTTAACTATTTCTGCAGCTTTCCCTTTCATTAGGTAGGACTTCAAGCTATACATTACTGGGGATCTTAGATTACCTCTGCAGCTGTATCCTTCAGACACAATAGGGTTTTTATCCTATATCAATGAGAATAGTTATTATTCCGTTATTATATTTATAGGCTGACTCTATTTGGATTACCTGTTCTCTCTGTAGCTACCATCCTAAGTTTCCCTGTCAGTCTATCCCCCTTACGGTTTATCTGTGTATCTATCCATTATAATCTTTACCCTTAATTTTCAGGGATAGTGCTGCTTTGTATTTGCAGTATAATAAAGTATCTCTATATTCAAATTTTTGTAGCACTCTCTGTAATTAGTACTTTTATAGTCTATATGGATATACCTTATTGACTTATACTCAGTACTGTATTTTAAATCATAGCACATATTAGGTATTTTTCTATATTCTGCTTTCATAAAAAACAGTTTTGAGTCTCATTTCGGTGACACTCTTAGTAGTTTTGAGTTCTTAAATATGAATACTTGTCTACAAATGGTATCTGGTTCACTAAGACGCGTTTCGCCAGGTCCTTGGGCTTTTTCAATCAGAGTAGTTCTTTCCTTGTTTGCTACTTCTTTTAAATCACCGGTTTCATCCTTATTGGTTCCCACCTTATGATTTTCACCAATAGCAGGTGCGGCTTATGTCATTACTTCTCGTTCAGCTGATCCCCATGATGTTGGCGGAAGTGACGTCTTATCCGATCGCGTCACACATAAGGGTATAGAATAAAAAACAGAAAAAACTTAGTTAAGATATATAATACAAATGGTAAAAAAACAACATTGAGGGTATGGCTAAATAGAATATTTATGCATTCTACCACTGTCTATACATAAGTATCAGAACCTAACTAGCGGCTTTGCCGCGATCCGACACTTCCGGGTTCACAGACTATTGACATGCCTCCTCTGATGCGGCTTCCTCGCGCTACTTAGAGGAACCGCACCAGATTCAAAGTGCTTGATTATTTTGAAGGTTCCTGATCAATCAGACCGGCTACAAACAAGCTTTCTCTTTCTACAAATTACGTGTACCGAACCTGGATTGTTGTAACCGCTGATCTCCATTCACCTTCCAATTGACTCGGATTACCTTTGGATTCTCTCCTTTTTGTAAAGCTCATCATCATAAACGTAGGTTATATTGTTGGATGATTAACTTTCAATTGGCACTTCAGTTTTCACTGTGTGTCTTCCTACTGAGATTAATTGGAAGTTATAATTGTATTTAGTACATGAACTTTCCTTATAAAAATAAGTCACAAAATGTATATTCGTGTTCCTTAAAGCTACAGGAATGCTCTCATCAAACTATCTTCATATTGTGTTCCTTAAAGCTACATGAACTCTCTCATCAAACTATCTCCATATTGTGTTCCTTAAAGCTACAGGAACTTTCCCATCAAACTATCTCCATATTGTGTTCCTTAAAGCTACAGGAACTTTCCCATCAAACTATCTCCATATTGTGTTCCTTAAAGCTACAGGAACTCATCGCATTCCTACATCTGCATGTCTCGTTCCTTAAAGCTACAAGAACTCTTCTCATCAAACTACATCTATATTGTATTCCTTAAGGCTACAGGAACTCACCACATTCCTACATCTACATGTCTCATTCCTTAAAGCTACAGGAACCCTTCTCATCAAACTACATCTATATTGTATTCCTTAAAGTTACAGGAACTCATCACATTCCTATATCTGCATGTCTCATTCCTTAAAGCTACAAGAACTCTTCTCATCAAACTACATCTATATTGTATTCCTTAAAGCTACATGAACTATTCTCATCAAACTATCTTCATATTGTTCCCTTAAAGCTACTGGAACTATTCTCTTCAAACTTTCTACATATCGTGTTTCTTAAGACTACAGGAACCCTTCTCATTGAACTCAAATTATCTTCATTTTGTGTTCTTCACATTACTGGGACTATTCTCATCAATCCACTATTAAATAAACCTTATTTAAGAATTATTCTATCTCTCCTAATTATTCTATTAAAACCTAAGGGTTCTTCTAATTATAATTCTGCAGTTGAGTTCCACTCCAAATCCAAAGGAAGTATTACATTAAAGTAAATATATATGTTCAAATGTACATTTAATATAAAACCATAAATATATTAAAAAACATATTATGTGCTGATAAATATGGGTATACTAATAATTCCTATCAAAATATAATTACAAATATGCTAAAAACAAAGCTCATATATTCTTAAAATGACACACCCTCAATAGAAAATACCAAACAAAAATTGTAAAGCAGACTAGAAATGTCTAATCGCCCCTATATTAAAAGAACATAGTATAAAATACTGGTCTAAAAAGTTACCCAATTATGTTCCACTAACACATTCAAAATAGCCTAATGGAAGAAAAAATAAAGATACTGGAATGAAGAATTGATCATTTGGAAGTGAAAGCTGTAGACAGCGAGGACAGATCACGTAGAAATAACATCAGGATAAGGGGAACCCCAGAAAATATAACACAGGCACAACTGGAGCAATACTTGGAAGACTTCTTCAAATTCTTGGGTCTACAACTGGATAATATCCCATACATCATTGAGAGAGTTCATAGGATCCCTAAAGCCACTGGTCTACCAGACTATATACCAAGAGAGGTGATAGCGCGTCTACATTCCTTTGCATACAAGGTTAAGGTCACCACAGCGTTAAAAACAAAGTCTTTAAAGGACTCTAAATTTGAAGAGATTAACATTTTTAACGGTATATCCCTCGCCACTAGGAACACCAGAAAGCCTTTTATGGCTCACACGGCTAAATTAAGGAACAACAGTATAAAATACGCATGGCTTTTTCCTATTGGAATAAGAATATTCTTCAGAGAAAAAACAGAGCTGATTAAAGATCCGAAAAGCTTACAACAATGGCTCTTGATCAATGAAATTGTCTGAAGCAAGGGCGAGAACTGAAAAGGAAGAGGACATTTATACTATTATTTTTTTTTTATATGCTTTTCCTTTTCTCTATATAGTACATGGACACATGATACATAATGCGAATACAGTAGAAGAAGTACGGCTCAAGGTTTTTTTTTTTATTACACCAATTTGTTTGGGTAAAAAAGATTAAGGGAGACTTATTAATATAATAATATGGGTGTTGTTTCAATTTTGTAAACGATAGCACTAAAATAATATTTCAAATTTTTTTAACATTTTGAATTGTTATACTAAGCTAATATATAAAGGGTTGGAGTTGTTTTAAAAAAAAAAAAAAATTTATTTTGTATCATCAGTGTTTCACTAATATAAAACTATCAAATAATCTTTAGTAGGGTGCATAGAGCCCCGTAATAACACTTAGAATTTTAAAAGTTTGAATGTAGTAATAATTTAAATACATCAGTGTGACAAACTCCCCTTCCCACATGAGTTTGCCATGAGCTCCTGAAGGAGCTTGCTTGCCAGCCTCCTGCCCACAGGCTATGGGGAAATCTGTAAAAGACTACCGAACTTGACCGACCGTTAGCATTGATTTCATGGAACTGTTTTGGGCATAGGACCATGTGCACAGTCGGTCAAAATTAGGACTTCCAGGAAATTCCCGAACCAATCTGGGTGATTTTTGGATATGTTGGTCACTCATATTGGGGCTATCAAGGGATGTAACTTTTGTGGGGGTTTTGTGTGTTTAAAGGTATTTTTGTGGTTTTATAAAAATGTATGTTTTCTGTGCCTGGAGATGATAGAGTTTAGTACAGTGCTTGACTCAATTATCTCCCAGGCACAGGGGAGGGATTATCTTGTTTTGTATGGGAGTATCCTGGACCTGAGAGCCAATGTAATCGTGTGTATCTTTTTACTGTAGTCTAGTCTCAGGTCCAGGGGGTAGTGCCCCTTGCATGGGGACCTGCATATAAGGCCAGTTGTGGCTGTCAATAAACAAGTTCCTGCCTACCCTCAACATAGAGTCTCATCTCATGTGTGGGGGGAACAGCTGGATCTGCTCTGGGGATTGCTATATCATGATAATCCCCTGGGCTATAATCACTAGGTCTTGTAAGAACTACAGTGCTTTACTTTGTTGGAGGAGAGGCCTTCTCAATGGGAGCTGGATCCAGGAGTTTTGAGAAGGGACAGTGAGACCCCAGCCAAGCTGTGGCAGCTAAGGGGCTACGGTGCTTATGGTGTCCCATGCGGTGCTTATGGTACTCGGCGACAGCTAGGAAGCAGCAAGTGGCGGAGGCAACCAGTTGGAGTGCCAAGCGGTCCATCACAATAAGTATTGTGTGCTTTTGTCTTATCATATACCTTAGGGAAATATAAGGACTTAAAATGTCTAGTTGGTAAATAGGATTCATAGTCATAGTAATGGTGCACTAATAAGAGTTTTGTCTTTTTTCACTGATGATGGAATAAAGATGATTAAGAGAGACTTAATGATATAATAATATAGGTGTTGTTTTAATTTTGTAAACTGTAGCACTAGAATAATATTTCAAATTGTTATGCTATGTTAATATATAAAGGCTTGGAGTTGGTTTATACATCACCGGTGTTCCACTAACATAAAACTATTGAGTAATTTTCAGTAGGGTTCCTAGAGCCCCATAACAGCACTTTGAATTTTTAAAGTTTGAATTTAGTAATAATTTAAATACATAAGTATTGTGTGTCTTTGTCTTATTATATACGGTACCTTAGGTGAATGTAAGGATTTAAAATGTCTACTTAGCAAATAGGACTTATAGTCATATTACTGTAATTGTGCACTAAAAAGTTTTTTGTTTGTTTTTTCTTTCCTCTTCCCTTGCTCTTCTCTTGCCTTTCTCTTCCAATTATCTTTCTACTCCCTCTTTATTAATCCAAGCCTTTTAAAAGAGGGAAGGAAAAAAGGGGGGAAAAAGAAAAGAGGAAAAAAAGAGAAAAATAAGGGTATCTTAATTGGGTCAAGGAGTTTAAGATTAAAAACCACTTCGTTTTAACCGCTAATTTAATTTAATGTTGGTGCGCACCTAATACAAGGTGATACACAATATTGGGGAGGACTCTGTTCTCTCTGGGCAAGTGGTTTAAGGGGGTTTTATGTTTTTTGTTACGTGCAGCTGTTTTGATAAAATGTGTTTAATGGTGATGTTTACATCTTGGTCCTCGGGTGGTGCTATTGGGGGATTTCTGAGCTGGAGTAAGGAGGTCACATGATAACATTAGCGTATTTAAATGTTAGGGGATTGAATTACGGTTTGTGGAGTCCAAGAGAGGCATTAGCGCTCAATTGACAAACAATGGGTCAATTCTAAAGTTTACCCATATTTTTTCTCATCATCTATGTCTAATACTAAGAAAAAGTGTGGCCATGCTTATTTCCGCTAAGGTTGCTTTTAAATTCAAACACCAGGAAGCCGATACGGAAGGTAGATCTGACATATTAATTTGTGAAATCAATATCCTATAAATCTTTACTATCATTAATAAAAAAAACAAAGATAAAGCACCACGCTTACAGCAGCAGTAGCTTAGTATCCAACAGCTTAAATTACATAGTAAAAACAAAGAGAACGTTACCTGAGCTCTGGCCTAAATCCCCATGTACATTTAAACAAAATGGAGGCTCTTTAGTTTTATTCCAATGGCCATTTGAATATATAAGCTCACCTGCCACGTCAAGGCAAGCCTCGGTAGGTGAGTTCCTACACATACAATAAACTTTGCTGGTATCAGATAAAGTGTAAACATCACTAATGAGACAGGAAGGGGTATTTTATAAACCCTTTCACATTTAACCCTTTATAGGGCTTCTACAAATACAATAAACTTTGCTGGTATCAGACAAAGTGTAAACATCTCTAATGAGACATGAAGGGGTGTTTTATAAACCCCTACATACTTAACCCAGAATAGGGCTATAACATATACAAATCACCTTGCTGATGAGACAGGAAGGGGTGCTGCCCCTACATACTTATAAACTCTTAATAAGACAAACGTGGGGAGGCTGGCAGCAATGTAACATAGCTGTGTGATACAAAATTCATATACAAATTCATTAATGTCTATGCCCCAAATCATTCCCCTATAAAATTTATTCGTAAAATATTTGATAAGGTTGATCGTATTAGACAAGGGAGAATTAAATATTTGGGGGATTTTAATTGTATCTTAGATCCAGATATGGATAGGAAGAGTTTATTAAGGGATCAGAACAATTGGTATTTGAAAAATTCAGCTAGGAGCTTTAACGAATGTTTTAAACATCTCTTATTGTGATATATTTATTATTGGTGGCAATTATTTATTGACTCCCATACAGTTTTTATCTATTTATTTTAGTGTGGCAGTTGGCTTGTACTATTTGATTAGGCTGATGGAATTCTGACCATATTTGTCTTTAGTAAATATGAGAATTGGCATTGCAGTCGGAGGCTTTAATTTAATATTGTTTGATAGGGTTTCCAATAAGTTATATTTTAGGATAAACTTTTAACATCATTTTTTAAACATAATAAAATATCAAAAATACACCAGATGTACAAAACAATATATCAATATTTAAACAAACATCAAAATATATATTTTTTAAAAAATATTTTAAAAACTATTAAATAATAATAATTATGTCCATCCAAAGAGTTCTGCATATACCACTTTCATTCCAAATGGGTTCCATTGACCTCAATGAGTTATTTACCCATTCACTTGGCTGTTCCTCTTATTATGTATAAATGAATACATTCTGAAAAAGCCCTACTCGATTCTGCTAGTGAGTGATGAATGATTTCAGTGGCAGTTATTAGGCATTTTTTTTTTTTTTTGCTCACAGTAAAAATTCTCTTTTGTTTTTCCTTGCTGGGTAATGTAGGATAACAGGGGACTATCTTAAGTCTTATTGCTAAAACAGTTACCTAGAAACTGCTAAAACTTTATTCATACATCTAGACTGCTTAGCGGAAAAGAATGGGTCCCTCTGCACTTTGTGTTAGGGAAGGTTGTTTGTTTTCTACCTTCTTACTTATTTTACTATTATATATACCGGCAAATAATTTTATTTGCCTCACCCTTGCTTAGCATTCACCCCTCCATGCTTAGTTTTGGGCAGGGAACAGGAGCTATATCATCCCTGGTGATTCACTTGGTGGAGTATGTAATCTGCACCTCCTCCTCCATGCAGTTATTCATTGATTTAGTCAGAAAGTTGCATGGTAACCTGGCAGCATCACTTTGAATCATTCAGAGAACACCACAGCCACACCAGAATGATAATGGTCTGCACCTGCCAGAGAAGCAGACCACATGCTCCCTGTGTATAGTATTTGTGTTAAATATTTCTTTATTGTTAACAAAAGGTTCAGTAAGAAAGGAAACATAGTATGTATAGAATATATATACAGTATGCAGAAAATAATCTTCAGGACAATACAATGTGGTTCGATAACTATTAACTGTAGACAGCATTCGTTAACAAAATGATTGATGAAAAGGGAAACATAGCATGCATAGATATACAGTATTCAGAAAAAAAATCTTCAGGATGATGATGAGGATTTGACCTGTGTATAGTATTTGTATGCAGGGCAAGACTGGGAGATCTTTCAATCTCTCTGCCGGCCTTTGGAGAGTCAGGGCTCTACGTTCTAGACATGTTATGGCAAAGTGGGCTTTGGCGAACATTCTGTGTTGGGATAAAAAGTGACAAGTCAGTTTTCCAGTATAGTAACTGTCCCCTCTCTTGAACACATTTATCCAACTAAGCAGCATTTTCACAGAGCAAAAACATGTATACTTAGTATAAAACGCACGCTATGTTCTCTGTGGCTGTACCAATTCAATTAATGTAAATAACGACTTTTCAAATAAAAACAAAAATACAAAAATATTACTCTTATAGCTATATGTAGGTATCAAAACAACAACATACATTTTAGTCATAAATTCTAATTTGATGCATTTCATTATATTTCATACATAGGAAACATGTTTAAATCTTTTCAAAAAATGCATGCAAATATCCAAGTTAATATTTTTATTGAATTTGCTCTGTTATTTACCATTTTTAAAATTCAGTTTTTCTCCTTTCTGATCATAAGTTATGTTTCTGCAATAGGAAGAAGATCAGTATAAAATAAGCTTGTCTATTTAAAAATTAACACTTCTTTTCTCAAGGTCTTTAGAGTGAACGCTCTTAATGGAATCTATGTCTTAATTCATTAACAGCATAACTGGTTTAATCTTTAATTATTCTAAGCCGTTTTAAAGAATGACATGACCCTGGTCATCATGACATTAGCAATTTTGTCACATGGTATTCACTGAACTGTGAATTGATAGGAATCCAAAGGGGTGTATTCATTTAAATACAAATTTTAGTACTTTAAAAATTTAAAAATACAGGCTAAAATAGGCCAGCTTTGAGTATTACATTCTTATTTTGTTTTGTTATTTATACTATTCTTTTTTTATTTAAATTCAATACAAATTGGACCTTAGTGAATAGATGATTTGTTTGTTTGTTTTTTAACAATCTTTGTTTAAGACGTTTCAAAAGTTTACATAGGATGTTGCATAAATACAGTGTTAGTTTCACACTGTAACTGTTTACATCACAGTGGCCAATCATCATGCTATTACTATAGTTTCACCATCCATATGGTTTCGAACTTAACCCCTCCACCGGCCAGACTTTGGTTAGACTCAGACTTCTTATGGATATATTGCTTAATTTACATCATGACAATTATGGCAAAGTCAAGTATAAAAGGAAGAAAGAAGAAATGTTAGAGTGTGATGTTAAATTAGAGAGAGAAATAGGTCCCCAGCACTCAGCATAGCAAAAGACTTCCAGGGTTGTGGGAGTCCCTCCCCTAAAAGTTCTGCAAGTGGCCTAAAACCATCCGGACTAAACATGATGAAGTCATTCCCACTCAGAAAGACTAGGCTACCAGTCGGCAAGGTTCCTGTTATGTGCTAGGGGCAATGGTAGTCGTGAAACGAGAGAAACACAAGCTCTGTGCATGCAAACCAAATTCTAGGTTTTTGAACTGCCGGGAATCCCGAGGCTGTATTCCATGTCAGAGATGGAAGCAGACTTCCAAAGCCATCTGTGACAAATCACACCTCTGTCACCACATGTATTCCTTTGTTAATTCTATGTTTTCCCCAAAAGACTGCTTCATTGCCCCTGGCTCCCATTAGCCTCCTCTCCAAGCCACTCAACCGGGAGGACCTCTCTCCATGGCTGGACAAGGAGTCCAGAGAGATTTGCGAGGACCCAGCTGCGGCTAATCCCATCTCCTAGCCAACGTCCACCTTCGTTTTCCTCCACTTCCTGACCAGCCATGTTGTTTTTGTAGGAGAGGTACAAGGAACTAAGTAGAACATTGCTCCCTTAGAGACAGGGGAAGCACCCCCTGTTTCATCCAAAGAAGCTCCTGACATTTGACTGACCAAAGCCCCATTCATCATGGAACTCCTTTGGGCATGAAGATTGCTAGAAGCCGGTCAAAACTTTATCCCATGGCAACTCGCAATTCTGCATGGATCCAAGCCAACATGGGCGCTCAGAGTTATCCGAGGATATTTCATGTGTTGGGGTTCCTGTCAGTTTTATTATGTTTTGGGGGTATTTTTGTGTTGTGCTCTCTGTATCCAGGAGATAATTAGTTTAGCAAGAGTCCACTCAATTATCTCCCAGACACAGAGGCACCAGGATCAGTTGCTGTTGCTTGGGGTCCTTGTATAAATGACTGTTTGTAACAATAAAATCAGATCTACCCCAACATTAAGTCAAAATTAATGTATGGTGTAAAAGATGTTACAGCTATAAACACTGCAGTACTACTCAGAGTAGCTATAGCACTGAGGTACAGGGAAGCTCTGGCAGTGATACATCCCTCTCCAAACAAGTCCTTAACTTGGTGTGATGCAAAACGTGCCAGAGTCCTCTGGAGAGCTGCCGACTGATAATATTTATTAAAATCTGGTAGTGCTAGACTACCCAGGTCCACATGAGACAGAGGACAAGGACATGATGATTTATCATGGTTCTCTCCTCTCCCTGTAGAGTAATTAGTTAGCAATATTTTAGGCCGCAATAGTTGAACTGAAAACTAAGCTATCAGACTTTTATTTAATTCAGCTATTGCAGCATAACAATAATAAAAAAAAAAACCCACTATTTATTACAAAAGAACAGTGTTTCATATTTACGTAACATCACCTAGTACCTTCACTGTAAACTACAAACATATAGGAAAGCACCAAACCATGTCCTTTAGAAGTTCTACAGATGGAAAGCTGGATTTGCTATTCGTGAGCTAATATAATTACCAGGGAGATTTCCGTAACTCTTAGGAATGGATTATCTTAAGGGTGTTAAGTACTGTTATAAATCAGAAGTCAAGAGTGTTAAATCATTAGATTTACCAGACGTATTTAGTCCAGATTATAGTGGTTGGGACCAAAGGAGAAGCAATTATCAAGTATAATATTTAGATGAAGTAGTTCAAGGACCCTTTAAAAGGCACATTACTAACTACAGAACCTGCTATTGAAAGCTGCTACTACATCTAATTAACAGTAGATTCAGAGGAGATTTGTGACAACTTGGAGTTATCATTATTATCACATCATAAAAAAGAATTAACATTAACCACAGGGCTTAGGAAATAATTTCAGAGAATACAGTTTACTAACTGGGGCCATCAGTGCTTCCCACACACAGTTATAAAGACAAATGTATTTATTATAGTATAACATCTAACCTTAAAGGTAAGGCAAAGCCTTTTAGAAATATTACCCACTTAGCTTAAATTTAGAGGTACTGTGATAGACTCACAGTACCTTTTTATCTCTTGCCGTGTTGTTATATTTTGTAGTTTGTCTTAGAAACATCGGTACTCATCTGCAAGTTATTTGAAAACCTCTTGTTTCTGTTAATATTCTGTATGTGAATTCTTTGTTGTCAGCTATCTCTATTCTATAATTACAAAGTGCTACAGAATATGTGTATAATAATAATAATGGTTTTCTTTTTAAAGAAAAACATTTAACATATAGTACACAGAGTATTCAAACTGCAAAAGATGCTTGAATTACAACAGGCCTTGCACAAGGCGTAAGGTAGACACCAGGAAGCTCACCACAAATGTTCATTAGAGAAGCTATGAGTAGTTAGGGCAGCTCTTAAACATGCCTTGTTAGATGGCGAGGGATCTAGAGTTGGCCTGCAGATTTTACTTTGAAAAAGCGAATAGGATGGACACAGTTTTGGCAAGAAAGAACCCCTGAAAGATCACTAAACTGGACCGTCAAAAGGGCTGAAGTAGTCAATTTTACCCCGAGGGGTAGGCACAATGTTTAGAGACTACTGTACCTCCCTATATGAACACTCCCCTACACATACTAGTGCCAATGCTGCTCACACTGAGGATTAACATAGATTCTTAAATTCAATAACGTTACTGTGATGAAGATCTCATACCGCCACCCATTCTGCTTCCTAACTGCTTTCAGGGACACTGGAATGCTTCAGCCCCAGTCGCCAAAGCTTGACTAGGGCCTCTCAGGATCCTTTCCACCCAACCAAGCTGCAGCTCTCTTCATCCAGGCAGGTATCATCCCCTCTGCTTTTGTTTGTTCATCTCTTCAACCAGGCAGGCATCTACACCTCTGCTTAGACTGTGATCAGCTAATGCCTTTAAAAAGATTCACAGACCTAGCTCTCTTTTTTTTACAATTCTTTATTTTTGTAGTGCATTGCAAATAAAAAGGGAAGACAGACATTGCAAAGAGTAGTTTAAACAAGTATCGACAAGACATTACCTGACATGTCTGACATACTGCACCATTTTTAAAATTACAGTAATGCAGATAACTTATATAACATGGCAGAGGAGTAATACCCCAGAAGGACCCATGTAAGGTCATGGAGACAATGTGTCAAATACTAATAAACATTACTATGCTCCATAAAAGAACAAAAAATAAATGTAACCTTAAAATAAAACAAGTGCCGCTAATGATATGATAGGCTGAAAAGGGAGAGGAAAGCACCTCAGCCTATGCCTTAAAGGGGCCAAATAAAGTCCCACACCAGAGACTGCCAGATCAGACCGGATAGCCCACAGGAGAGTAAGAAAAGCAGCACCATATGGAAAAATAGCTTGTAAAGCTTGAGATCTGTAGCTGCAGTCCGCATGCGAGCAGCCAGCTTCGCCCAGAAGGAATGAAATAGCTCAGTTGGCCTGCTCACTACATCCGACTTCCCACCACATGGGTCAGATGAGCATGGGCCATCTGCCATTTTAGAGGTAAGGTCATAACTGCTTGTTAGTGTCGCGTGGTTTCGGCGTGGCAGAGGAGCCTCTGGGGTGTAGACCAGGATCAACCTCACTGGTCCAGGAAAGGGGGTCAGCAGTAGGATTCAACAGTGTCCAGTATCAGGCAAGCCAGTAGAGCGGCCACCTCTCCGCATCCTCCTTGGATTGCAAAAGCAATCCAGATTTCAGTTGCTTCTGTAGAGATCTGGCATGGCAGGATAGTGTTAAGTCTCGCATAGCTGCAGAAGTAGAGCCCCAAGGGGCAATAAACACAGGTAAATCATTATCAAATCAAGTTGGAAGCTCTTTCAGAATGAGTCCGACTGCCATGCAGGTCAGGCCGCCCCCTCAACTCTCTTTTTAACTTGTCCCAGGATACAGAGACCAAACAGCCAGCCAACAGTTCCAAAGATTCTTTTACTGGGATCCCTGAATAAATCAACTAGGACACTCAGTTCCCAAAGGAACTAATATACAAAGCTTAATTTTGTCTCAAAACTAGCCTAGCTGGTAGAAAGCATCAACAGGACAACAGAGCACACAAAACATTTAGCAATAAACAATTATATACACCCTGCACCTATAATTGGCACAGGGTGACAGTGACAAAGAGATATCTGGTAAATCACAAGTGGTGCTAAACATACTGTTCCATAACTCCCAACAGCAAGCACAGCCACATTTAATCCCAGACCAAGGTGTAGCAACTCTGGGGAAAATGTAGGCCAATAGTTACTAAAATAGCAGCCAGAGAGAAAGGCAGAGTTTAGATAGTCCCAGTGATGGTGACTACCGTCACAATTACCTGAGTGAGACAGCTAATGTCTTGCTCTGCACCATCACTACAGATGAAGTTTCTGAGGCTATCTCATCTCTGCAGGGCCACTATATCCAGACGGATATAGTGGGGTGTATTAGAAGACCTTTCGGGATAACCTTGTCCCACATCTGGTCAAGCTCTTTAATGCCGATATGAAGGGTGAACCCCTGTCATCAGAGATGATGATAGCAACATCATATTGCTGCCCAAGGAGGGCATGGAGCCTATATATTGGTTTCTAGATTGAACCCACTCCTTCAGGCAATGATTCACTCAGACCAAGTGGGGTACACTAACAGTAGTTGATACTGTCCTCCTTTATTTAGTAGAGGGGGAAAAGCACAGTATATCTATTGGCAGAACCCACCCACTTTCTCTTAGCCAGAAATTAGATGATGAGTTGAGTGAATATAACTCTATGATTTAAAACAGAATTGTAAAAGGAATTGAATCCTCTTTTCTATATTAACGTACAAACAAGGATTACTGATACCCTAATCCCATGTACATGAAATATACAAAGAAGGATTAGCAATGAATTGGGCTGAATAGGTTAAAAATGCAAACTGAGTTTTTGGTCGAATGGTTACATGGAACTTAGCCGCCTACTCAGTTTACCGAACTCAAGGAGTATGCTGATGATCCATCCCCAGAATCAGTGATGCAAGTCTGAGGGGGCAGTACTCGATTGTGATAGGCTAATTGCTGGAGAGCTTTCATTCCACGTCTCTCTCCCCTGACAAAGGTGCTGTTAAAGCACTGATTGTACATCGTGTTAACTTGCTTTCATTTTACTTTGCACTATTCACTAATTTTTCACTGATACACCTTTTGTAATTTCGGTGTTGGTGGGAGATAGGGTATTAGACAGGGATGATGTGAGGCTGAACAGGGTGGGGGGAGGGAAAGGGATTCTTATAAAGTAAACTACCGAGCAGCATTATAGTGCATAGGCAGCTCTCTAATTAGGCAATTTAAGGGGCCGCCTAAGCCCTCGCACTGACTGGGGCCTTGCGGTCGCCTAAATCGCCACAGGGCAGACTGACCTGTCAGGTCTTCAGTCTATGATTGAGGGCTTGACTCAGGGAGGGGGCCTGGCAGCTTGCCCTATATGTTGCCAGGTGCGAGGCCCCTCCATACTGTCTGCCCAGGGGAAAACAGCCTTCTGTCGGCAGCTCCACCGGGTACAGAGCTGCAGTCTGAGGTGTCTCGCAATCCCCAACCATTCAGTGCGTAGCTGGAGGTTACCACGGCAACACTCTGACAATAGATCACGAGACTCCTATCATGTGGTCTGCAGCTCTGCACCCAGCAGGGCTGCAGACCAGAGAACCAGCCCACCAGACCACCAAGGGAATCCACCAGACCACCAGGGAAGATATAAAAGACCCCCTACCCTGTCACAGCCCCCTATTGCCTGTCACAGCCCCCCAATCCTATCACAGCCCCCTCACCCTGTCACATCCCCTCCACCTTGCCACAGTCCCCCAACCCTGTCACAGCCTCTCCACAGCCCCCCTACTCTGCCACAGCCCCCCTACCCTGTCATCGCCCCTCCACCTTTTCACAGCCCTCCAACCCTGTCACAGTCCCCCCTACCTTTTCACAGCCCCCCTACCTTGTCACAGCCCCCATCCCTGTCACAGCCCACCACCCTGTCACAGCCCCCTTCATCCAGTCCCACTCACATTAACCCCTCCAAATCCTGTCACTCTCACCCCCTCCAACCATACCAAACTCACCCGCCCTCACTTTGCCACACTCACCCTATCACATTAACGCCCCACCCAATCCTGCCAGACTCACGTTCTCTCGCACTGTCACACTCACCCCCAACCCTGTCACACTTATCCTCTATCAGCCTGTCTCATTCACCCTCTTCACCCTGCCACACTCACATTAATGACTCTAATTGTGCCACATTAACCTGCCTTAATCTTGTCACACTCATGTCCCCTCGTTCTGTCACAAACCCTCCTCCAAACACTAACTTTGTCAGTGGGGGCCTCATGTTTTAGTTTGGCCTAAGGCCTCACACATTCTAGAGCCGCCACTGTTAGAGTGACTGATTATTTAGCGCCCATAAAGGTGCAGGAAGAGGTAGCTATAGAAGTTTACCAGACTACAAGGGTTAGAATTGAGAGACTTGGAGAATTTAGTTATAGTTGACCTCAATCGATATACTATTTAACTAACTCTACTCAAGGACTTTGGAGCATAGACTATGCACTTGTGAAGCTTAGATGGATGATCATCAGATTGGGTGATTTCTCTGTTACTAATCCAAAGCATATTATCATTATCATGTGTTATATTGATAGATCTATTCTCTCCTTACTGTGAACTCTACTACTTTAACAGCTCCATTCTTATCCCGTCCTCTCTAGACAGCATTACTTTCTATTTTATTCTATTTAGATGTTGAATCATTTCCTAGCATCCCCATTTAGGTTGTCTCTATTTTAGTCAAACAGTTTAGTGAATTTCTCCCTCTATACAATTTGTTAAAGATCAGACCCCACTGAATTATTGGGATAAACTATCCTTTTTTCATCCTTGTACATCAAATTAGGGAGTATGGGAGTCAGATTCATATTCACAGAGGTATTACTAAATTCCTTACTATACTAACAGATACCCTAATTCAATTAGCAGACAGAGACACCCTTTGGTTTCTGCGTTCATTTTGGCAAGAAACAAATCACTGAATAAGTAACACAGTGAATAACTCTGTTGCTAAATTGTATCTATTTCCTATACCTGAGTGCAGTGAAGTTAATTTTACTACTGCCATATTGTTCCATTAAAATACCAATTTAGAGATCTCCATTTATTATTTCTCTAAGTTTAGTTCTATGGGACAATAACATTGTCTGACTTGACTTCCTCAAAGAGAGGTATGCACTAATCAGTCAGGACTTCTTTCATTATCGGTAAATCAGCGACTTTGCCTACAGAGGAAATAGTCTGAGGTTTAAGGGACAACCCCTAACCTTTTTTGATGAATTGTGGCACCAGGAAAAAGAATTTCAGAGCTATACGTAAACATTTGCTCACAACCATTGTCAGGGCCGTCTTTAACGCGTGGTAAGCTGGGCAACTGCCCTGGGCCCAGTTACTCTTTGGGGGCCCGAAGCAGCTGCCTTATGGGCCCCCGCTGCCCTCAATTATTTTTCTCCCTTATGGGTCCACCGACGCAACCCGCGGCCAGCACACTAAGGAGACCCACCAGGTGGCCTATCCCAGTGGGTATTTCTAAGCAGGGGAAAAAAAGGTTACCTGCGCTCTCTCCTTAATCCCTATGTATATTTAAAGAAATGGAGGTCATTTAGTTACTCCAATGGCCACTGGAGGGAATGCCCGCCTGCCAACGTTAAGGCAGACCCCCCTAGATGGGTCCTACTCTGACCCTTCACCCCGCTTCCTTGAGCCTCTGGCAAAGATATCTCTAATGAGACAGAAAGGGGTATTTTTTATATACACCCATATATACTTATTAACCCTTGATAGGGAACACATGGGATGGGCGGCAGCATTGTAACCTAGCTGTGTCATACAAAAAGTGAATACAAAAATAAAAGTCCCATCACTCCAGGGCGGCAGCAACGACCACAGTACACATCAGCTCCAATACATATAGTAAAAACCTTTCTTCGTTTTTTACTATATGTATTGGAGCTGATGTGTACTGTGGTCGTTGCTGCCGCCCAGGTTATACCTCTGGAAGCGATAGCTAAGTAATACCTATATTCAATCCAATACCTAACAGATACTTAGACTGACCGTTTATTGAATGGGAGAACCGACCCGTTTTCATGGAGCAGAATAAGATTGAGTCAGTTAGTTTACCTCAAAGATTAGGTGCCCACAAAGGCACAGTATAGCTAGTTCTACTTAAGCTCCATGATTAAAAAGCTATTATATTAACTGTGATGGACCACCTGGCACCCCAACTGGGTGCCTCCGCCAATCGCTGCGTCCTAGTAGCCTGGACTGGACACCATAAGCACCATAGCCCCTGAGCCGCCGTAGCTGGGGTCTTGCTGTCCTCCACCCACCCTAGACCCAAGCCCAGGATCCAGCTTCCAGTGGGTGGACTTCTCCTACTCCAGAGAGTCTAGCAGGTATAACTGTGTAGCTCTTACAAGAGCTAGTGATTATAGCCAGTATAGCAATCCGAAGCAGGTATAGCTGTTCCCTACAATCACGAGATGAGGTTGCGTGTTGAGGGTGAAGTGAACTGACTTTAATGGGACCACACTTGGCCTTTTATGACAGCTATGACAGAAAAAATACACAATCACATTGGCTCTCAGATCCAGGACACTCCCATACAAACTAGGTCAATCCCTCCTATGTACCTGGGAAATAATTGAGTCAAATACCGTATTAACTCAATTATCTCCAGACACAAAAACACACATTTTTATAAAACCCCAAAATACCTTTAAAACATAAAAAACCCACAAAAGTTACATCCCCTGATAGCCCTGATCTATATTTAGATTTTTTCATCTATAGTCATTCCCCTTAGTGTGAAGCAGCCCTCATTAATTAAATATGGTTCTATAATTCATGTGTCCTACTGCATTTAAGTTGTTTCTTACTTGCGTTCTATCCCAAATCCCTATGCACATTTAAGTCACTGTTTTTTTTTTAGTTTCACTCAAATGTCCATTTAAGTGTAAGCTCACCTGCAATGTCCAGGCAAACCTTTTAGGTGAATACTACACTAACATTCACCTTGCTGCTCCCAGCTAGAAGGTAAAAAAATGTTCCAATAAGACAGAGGGGGTAATTTTCTAAACACCTACACACTTATTAACCCTTAATAGGGAACACATGGGATGGTTGGCAGCACTGTTATATGGCTGGGTGATACAAAAGTAAATATAAATATACAGAAGTCCTGCACTCAAACTCCAGCTACTCCTGATTGCCAGGAATGACTATAGTATACATCAGCTCCTATACATCCAATAAAAAACAAGGTTAAACAAAGTTACTTGTGCACAATTACAAATCCCTATATACAGTAAAATAACTGGAGGCTGCCCAGTTTTTGTAAGTTCTTATAATATAATTATATGTTGAAGCAATATACTTTCACCATTTTAACATCCAGCCAGATCTAATGGAAAAAGGGACATAGCATGACATCTGAATATGTGTTTGTTGATATTACCTAAGTTATATTAAAGTTCAATTATAAAAATGTAGGATGTTACTTTCTCTGCACCACATTACCCATTTAATCCTATAGAATGTAAGCTCGTTTGAACAGGGTCCTCTTCAACCTCTCGTTCCTGTAAGTTGTCTTGTAATTGTCCTATTTATAGTTAAATCCCCCCTCTCATAATATTGTAAAGTGCTACAGAATCTGTTGGCGCTATATAAATGGCAATAATAATAATAATAATAATAAATTACTGATTGTTAGCCATCCTATGCAACTCAATGGCCACCGGGTTCCAAATGACCTCCTCTCAATAAATTTTTACTAGATTAATTAATTAAAAAATAATAATAAATAGTTTTTTTTAAGTGGGGTGTGTCAGTCAAAATGAAGACAGTACAGTGTCATTTTAATCTGAATGGGATTTATGTTAATGGTAAATTTGGAAACAACCTGTAGTAATTACTAATTAGTTCAGTATTTTAATGATGCTCATGGTTCATGTTTTAAAGGGATAATTTATACTCATTTGAATAGTGTGCACTTAACCAGACATCTTCATATGCTAATAAATAGGATGAAAATGAGGTGACAGACAGTCTGTTGAAATGTAAATAACCAGATACTGTTTAGTACTGGGTAGACAGAATAAAATGAAAAAGTGAAAGACTTTTACAGGCTAATGATTGGTGGAGAGGAGAATTATGGCAAAGTACTGGGTCTTTTAGATTAGATTATGGTTGGTTAACAAATATTCCATTTAAACTGCATTGTTTATCAATTTAAAATGTATTATATGTTATCCAAAATGTTCTAATATTTGCGTCAGAAAATTATTGAGTGCTAATGGTGCATACGTCTGTTTGCACTGTCCCCTATCTTTGTAAAGCAATTTGGGAAAAATATGACAAAAATAAAGCACAAGGCACTGCCCTTTACCTATTGACCTACCCCTCTCCAGCTTCATTTATAATGAGCAAACTTCCATATTATCATGTGTGATTCCTACCATGCTAGACAAGAATGATAGGCTGAAAGTTCTGGGGTGCCTTTTCCTGAAAATTGATTCCAGAGTGATAAACACAGTGACATATTGTAACAGCCCAAGGCACCATTTTCTTACTCAGTTGCTGTGGCAAGTTCCAATTGGCTCATATTCTATTCATGAGAGAAACAGTTGAATAAGCTGATTGCACACATGACTTATTGTAGCACACATAGGGTCTTCGGTTATTGACCTTATTGACCAGATTACCCCACATTTGTACAACATTACCGATGGTCATACATATCTACCTCCATAATTAGTTGAGATGTATGCATCCTTAGGGCTAACATGGACCTTTATTCAGTTGTGACTCAGAAATGTCGCTTCATGTTTACAAACATTTGTTTCATCAATATAGATTGTTACTATATAATACCCATTATAAAAACTACATATAGACTTTGCCATTCTGTGCATCTCAATGGCCACTTGGCTCAAAATGGCCTCCTAACAACAAATAGTATTTTTAAGTGGATGTGTAAATAAAAATGAAGACAGCACAGTGTCATTTTAATTTGAATGGGATTTATGTTAATGGAATATTTGGAAACAACCTGTAGTAATTAATAATTAGGTTAGCATTTTAATGAGGCACATGGTTCATGTCTTAAAGGGATAATATGTATATTCATTTGAATAGTGTGCACTTAACCAGACATCTTCATATGTTAATAAATTAAATGAAACTGAGGTGACAGACAGTCTGTTGAAATGTTTAATATCCAGTTTAGTACTGGGTAGACAGGATAAAATGAAAAAGTAAAAGATGTTCACAGGCTAGTGATTGGCGGAGAGGAGATCAATGGGGAAGTGAGTAATTTAGATTACCTCACAGTTGCAGAGGAAATAGTAAATGACAATAAGCCAATAAACAAGCCCAACAGGGAGGTGGGGTTAAATTGTGTTGTAGAAGCGCTCCCCTCATTCTCTCAGAGTTGCTGTCTTCAGTGCCTTTGGGGAGATTCTTCTCAATCCCTACTCTTGCTAGCATCTTCCTGCTAACCTGCTTTCTCACAGCTCATCATTCTACAGGCCTTTTCTCAGCTTTCCAGACAAGGTTTGAATAAGCTGCCCACACATACAAGCTTTTCTTGAGTTTTTTTCTCAAGTCCAGAGGCCTTCTTCAAAGATTTTATCTGCAGCTCTGCTCCCAGCGCAGAACCTACGCCAGCGATCTTGAAAAATCCCAAGAAGAACTCTCTGAAAGCTGTTAGCCAACAGAGAGGTTCACTGCAAGAACCATGGATAACAATTACCTTTATTCCAACCAAGGAGGGGCTTATTCATGCCATCTTCCACCTGGATATGGACATTATCAAGAATATGTGCAAGATATCACTGGCATGGGCCATCAACCTAACTTACATTATGTGCAAAACTATGACTATGCAGTAATTCAACAAGATGACGGGCAGTGCCTACATCAGAAGACAAACAAAATGAACCAGATCCCCCAGTTATATAACAGCACTACACAGCCTAATGCTTGCTATCAATATTCTGGACAGCCATGGATACCACCACCAAACCAATACGAAACACCTGGCTAACTAAACCAAGTATCTCCCCATCAAGCTGCCAGTCCTATAAGCATGAATCGGCCCACTTCCCCACAGGCCATGTCCTTTGCTGCTCATGTGGGGCATGTTAACTACCCCATGCACCACTACCAAAAACCTTCACTTGGTAGGACTGAAAGGTGCACCTCTACAAGCACCCTATCTAGAGCTGAAAACTGCTCCCCTACAAATACCATATCTTGCGCTGGAAGCAGCACCCCTACAAGTACTATGTCACAGGCGTCCGCTGGAACAGTAGTATCAGATGTTGAGGTGAGTACTTACTAATCCAAACTCATGCACTGTTTTACTATGTGGTTCCTTCACCCAACTGCATGTTTGGACCACTTTGATAATTTTTTTTTAGGCTAGTAACATTTACTTTTCAAATTTCTCATGTAAGAGAAAGCCTAAATGTTGGAGATACTTTATTGCTTTATTGTCAAAGTATCAATGGCTGTTTAGTGAAAAGTACATTTTTTTTAAAGGACATTACGGTAGAAAGTGGTGAATATGCAAATATTTGGTATGCTTGGTTTAATGTCTAAATTATAATTTTATTTATAGTAAACATAAAGTTATAGTGAATTGACAACTGAAATATGTAGGCCAACATTTGGAAAAGGGGAAAAAAATATTTCAAATATTCTTAGTTAGAGAATTTTTCAAGCTTGCCACTTTCATCCAATTTTTTTACTCCACTTTTCGATTTAGTTCAACTCACTGTTTACTAAATAAATGTGTCTTTTTATTTTATTTGGAATATAGCTGTTGCAGGTATGGCTGTAATGAGGTTATGGCTGTCCATTAGGATTTCCTTGTGAAGCCTTAATATTGTGGACAATTGCATATTTTATATTGTCTTGTGATACTTTTTTTGAACTATTTTCTGCCAAAATGAACTCAAATCTGAGTTAAGGTCTACTTTAACTATAAATAAACAGTGGGAAATTGTAGTTCAAGTAAGCCTTTTATATAAAGTCTATTGCAATCTCAGTGTATATGTATCTATGCTGGCCTCAATGTCCCATCCTCTAATTGGAGCTTTTGTATGGCATATATATACTTATGCACTGAAACCACTTGTAAATAACACATTCATATCACAAACTATGACTGTGGTTGATGTTTTCCTGGAGAATAATTAAAAATGTTTTCTTGAACCTCAAGTTTAACACTTGCTCTTTACATTCACAGGATCAATCAAGCATGACTGAGCTGAAAGAATTTGCCCAAAAAGTGAAAAAGCGGAGGGAGTCATTAAGGCTTACCCAGGAAAACGTTGGGGACGGACTAGGAGTTTTATACAGTAAGATCAGATATAAGAAGTTACTAATATATCGAATTTAAAAAAACAAAAGAAAGATATTTATATTTTCAGTTTGTAAAAAAATTAAAACAATGCACAAATAAAAATCAACTTTTATATTAAAGGGAAAATCTGGTATTTTTGATACAGAAAGTATAATTATCTAAAATATGTATTATTGATAAATTTGTATATATATGAATGGATATCATATTCTATACATTTTGTTTGATAAATTTACTCTGATCCTTTGAAAAAGCACAGAGAGGGCATTTAATGCAAATGTATTTCTTTTTCCAACAACACTTTGGAATAATGAAATTCAGTGCGGATGTTATCCCTGAATTTGATGGCATGCAGTAGCCTTTGATTTCAGTCATGAGCCCAACTCTTGGAAATATGAGATAATGCAAGGTCAAAGATAGGAAACTCATGGAAACATGCACCGGGATACAGTTTCATTGTACCAAAGGATCACGTTTGTGTAAAATGCTCATTGTAAACTTTTCAGGTTGCAGTTGCAATGTCAGAGTGCTGTCAACATAAATATATAAAAAAAAACATAAGTCAATAATGAACTAAAAAGGTAATCAAAAAAAGCTCTTTCCATATTAATAATAATATTAACATTATTACTATCTTAATTGATTTAGTTATAAATAATAGAGTTTTGTTTAAAATCAGAGCACCTGGACATCACATAACAGACAAACCATCTACTTTGTTACAGAGAAATCATTTAGCCAAACAACAATCTCCAGATTTGAAGCTGTCCAACTGACCCTTACTAATATGCGGAAACTGAAACCAATGCTGGAGAGATTTTATGATGAAGTTGAATCAAATGAGGCTACTCGAGAAGTAAGTAAAACATTTCTCATTTCGGGAGCATGTACAGGGACTTATACTCTAAAGATTGTGACAAAAGTACTCCTTTCCCTTGGTACCTTGTCCTGGGATTGGGGTGTTACACACAGTCTTTTCAGGCTTTAGAGACACTTCACACGCTGGATGAGGTAAACTGACTTGCTCTTTTATTGAGGTTCCAAAATAAATGCACAGTAAGGTATAAAGGTAACAAAAATATATCAAACAAAAGCCTTGCTCTTCTGAGCACTAACTAAACAAAATAATCAGCTAACTGGGTTGGATGGCTTGTCCATTTCCCAACATAAACATAAACATAAACATAAACATAAACATAAACATAAACATAAACATAAACAGCCTTACTGCTTCAGGGTTTTCAGCTCTCTGTTTCCACTCACAGAAACCAAACACAATCTCCCTTCTTCCTTGGCAGGGGAGTACTTAATAGCACTGGTAATTGATAATCCTTTTCAGGTGAGTTAGATTAGGATTCAAACTCCAGAACTGGACTTCTCACCAAGCAACTTCCAAAATGTGGAGTGGAGCACTGGCCCACCCTACTCTCCAGGTGCTCCACCCCAGGGCCCAAATATACACATATTTAAAGTGCAACATTCATTAGAACATAACACATTTCCCTGGGGCTAATTACACAAAGTAAGAACCTTGCAAAATCTGGGGAGGTATATAGGTTCCTTCCAGCACAATTCCTTGCTTTCTGTCACAAGATTTATTTACATCAAGTTGGTCATTGTTGTTAAAATTCCACAATTATCATCAGTGGAATTTTATCATACTAAAACAGCTATAGCTTTGTATCGCCCAGCATTGGGAGGTATGGAATTGGGAAGCACGTAGATGGTCCCTAGGGTCATTGTCAGTGACTTGTGTCACTTGCGATGCCCACAATGGATGAGTCTGCCTGCAAAAGGGAGTGGGTTGGCCAACTGAAGTGGTATGTCATCCTAGTATAAAAAAAAAACAAAGCTGACTGACAGCATCTATGGTCGGCAGACCGAGATCGGCAACTTTTGACAATCCAGATGGACTTCATTCCCCATGATGCTTTGACAGAATTTTGTCTGTAAGGAATTATGGAAGATGTAGTCCACAACATCTGTAGTACCAAAGGCTGCCTCTCCTTGTGGTAGACCATGCAGAGAGTACTGCTGAAGCACACTCTGTATGATCCTAGCGGTTGCCACATAGCTGAAGCACATCAAACATGTGTTCTCTCTGTGCTAGACAGGGTCAACCCCCTCTTCACAACTGCGCAGTAAACATTAGTAAATAAATAACAATTTTGAATCACAAACTATAACTGGGCCAGATCATTTTCAAGAGGAAATGTAGCTGTTGTAATAGAGACACTATCAACATGGAACAAATCGGGACACTGGGAGAGGACCCCAAAGGAGGGACAGTCTAACCAAAATTGGGACATATTGGAGGGCTGCAACCCTGCATGTTCCTTTTCAGTTTTTGGATTCAGGATGAGTTCATTGTTCAGTCTACGTGCTGTAGGCTTCAGCTCTATGTAGAGCTGCAGAGATCAGTGTTTAGCTTGAAGAGAGATACTGAGTTCACAGTTATAGGAATATAACCATGATTTCTTAACCACTATTATTATTAATAGCCTATTATTATCATCACTTAGGATGTGTATGGCATGTCAAGGAGAAGCATATCTTAATTTTGCAAAGTAGGAAATGAACATATGGCTAGTGATTTTAATAAATCACTGCTGATATAGTAGATATGATAAAAGGAGGTAATGAGCCCTCTGCAGTGTAATCAATGCACAGTGTGCAGGAAGCTATGGTGCTTGGGGTACTATTGTGTTAGGGCCCCTTTAACTCTGGGAAATATGCTCATTACAAATTGTGGATTTTTTTCTTTTGAAACTTGTTAATCTACTAGTCTGTAAAAAAATTAATTCTGTGATTAACATGTTATTATTTGCATTTTTTTTTTAAACCCACTAGATTGTTGACAGAGGAGGAAAACCGAACAACTCTGTAAAAAGAAAAAAACGTACGTTCATTGATGAGAAAACAAAACAAAAGTTAGAAGAGAATTATAAGCGGTTCGCTCATCCCAGTAAAATGGAAATTAAAAGCATTTCAACAGAAACCGAACTAACATGTGATGTAAGTATTAACGATAAGAAGATTTCTGTCAACTACTATGATATGACAATTTACAGTAATTCACTAGTGAGAAGTGAGAATTCAGAGTGAATTCAAAGTGAACTTCTGATTTAAAGGGACACTATAGTCACCAGAACCACTACAGCATAAGTGGTTATGGTGTCTATAGCCTGTCCCTTCAGGCTTTTTAACGTAAACACTGCCTTTACAGGCATACAATACACACAAACACTACTACACACATTGCATCCACTACACAAACACACACTCTGCATCCACTACACAAATACAGAGGCTGCATCCACTACACACTTTGCATCCACTACAAAAACACACACTCTGCATCCACTACACAAATACAGAGGCTGCATCCACTACACACTTTGCATCCACTACACAAACACACACTCTGCATCCACTACACAAATACAGAGGCTGCATCCACTACACACACTGCAAACTGCTTTGATGGGCATGGCTTTGCAAAGCACCCATTTAATCCCTGGACCCAGGCAGCACAATGTCTTGGACCAGCCCTGAGTTAACTGATATAGTAATCACATTATGGAGGTCACTTTAACAATGTGTTCTAGAGATTAGAATACCAGTATGCACAATTTGGGTAAAAGAAGACTCTATAATTAATGCCAGTTGGACTTATCTCTAATGATGCCATTTAAATCATAGTTTTGTAAGGAGTTTTTTTCTACACTACTATTTTGGCCTTAAATTTCCCTGCAATCCCCTTTTCAATTTTCACAATTTCCACTTTAGTAATTTGACCACATGATAGAATCTTAATTAGAATCATGCACATAAGATAAATTCCCTTATTGACCACTCATTACTTTTATTATTTAATAATAGGTTGTTAATACATGGTTCTGTAACCGGCGTCAGCAGGAAAAGAAGGAACTGAACAAATGCCTGAAAGAGGAAGCCGTAGCATCTGGCAATTGTGCTCAACCCATTTCAACTCCTAACACAGGAACCTGTGCCAAGCCACCAGTGGCAGTACCACAACCCTGCCTAATTGACATGACTGGGTTAAATCGTACACCTTATATGGCAATAAATGACCAAAACGAACAATTTATCCAACATGCCATGCAAAGTATGCATACTGGAAACTATACTCAGTTAACCATGTTATAATCATATTTCTATTTTTCTCTTTTTACAGATAAACCTCACTTTCAAACAATAGCCCACCTTGATCCCTTTTACTTCAGTTCACTGTTGTAGCCTTAACCCTACCACTTCAATTCCGTGTGGTCATTATTAACTCTCAAGCTGCATTTCCTCTCTATCAACGACCATCATTTCTGTGATGCTTCTAACCTCATCATCATCATTCAACCTCATGTCCTTTATTACAGGAATTCTCTCTAGACCTCAAACTCGCTGGACTTCCCATTAAGACTGTGTATATAGCTGTATATAGATTGTACAGTTGACAATGAACTTTTCATATATGTATATATATAAATAATAAAATAGGTTTGTTTGTCTTTTTGTTTGGAACATAACATTTTATGAATTTATACAAATTTTTTCCAGTTAGACTCTTCTTTACCGGCATATACTGAGGTTCACCCCAAACCTTCTATTTTGAAACAAAAGTGGTGCAGTGCAATATAAATATTTTCAACACTAAAAATTAAGGGGTAAGATAGTGATCTTGCTGCAGAGTGGATAGACAATGGGTGCCATGGAGTCCAAGTTTTTGTACTCCTCATCTACAGTTTGCCTTAAAACCATATCTTATGGCACCTTAATCACTATAGTGAGCTGTAGGTTATATAAAGCTTAGATTGCATCTGCCATTAATTAATTAAAATGACGAATCTGGTTCCCATGTAAAGTAATGTGCAGAAATGGAACAACCCAATGTTAGTGTTATGAGTTTACAAATTATTTTTGTAAGTGACTGTTCTAATGTCACTTACAAAAATAATTATATACAATAAAAATCAAAGGGAAAAAAAGTTTCTTACATATTATCTCAAATCCCTATTTACATTTATATACCTGTAGGTTTTTTAGTTTCACTCCAATGACCATTAGGTGCAAGCCTATCTGCGAGTCCTGCACTAATAATTCACCTTGCTGTTCCCAGCTACAAGGTAAAAAAACTCTGAGAGACAAAGGGCTATTTTTCTAAACCCCTACAGCAGAGGCATAAATAGAAACCATGGGGCCCCAGTGCTAAAATTGCCATGGCCCCCCACCATAGTCTTTCCCCCCTCCCCAACCCCTCCATGTGTCACATTCATGCCCCCAGTCCCTCCATGTGTCTCATTCACACCCCACAGAGTGAGAGTGGCAACGCTGGGGGGAATAAGTATGACAGAATTGGAGGCGTTAATGTGATAGGGTGAATATGGCAGCGTGAAATGGGGCGAGTAATGGAGAATGAGTGTGACAGGATTGGAAGGGTGAGTGTGACAGTGGTAGAGAAGGTGAGTGTGATAGGGTGAGTATGTCAGAGCGATGGAAGTGGTGTATGGAATGGGTAAGTGACAGGATTGGAGGAATTATTGTGAGTGTGGCAAGGTGAAAGGGGGTGACAGTGTGTGTGGTCGGGGTGCATACACTGACACACATGCAAATAAACAGACAACACTGACATACATGCAGATACACACCATGTAACACATACTGATTCATACACGGACACACATGCTGATACACAGACACAAATACACATACAAATACAGTTGCCATCTCCTCCCAGATGGCTGATGAAAAGCAAGGGGCCATTGCTTACAAATTGCTTAGTGCATGGGCCACCTGGTGGGCCTCCTTAGTGTTGGGGCCCTGGGGAAAAAATAAATAGTTGAGGGCAGCGGGGCCCACAGGGCAGCTTCTTTGGGAGCCCCTGAAGTAACTGGGCTCAGGGCAGCTGCCCGTTTGCACCGCGTTAAAGGCGGCCCTGGCTGGGTCCAGGCCACTTTTTGCATTATCAGCAATATCAGTATCTTTATAGGCCGATACCGATATTGCTGAAAATGCGGAATATCAGCCGATAATATCGGCCAGACTGATAATCTGTCAATACCTATAATGAGTTGTAAGTTATATAGAGCTTAGATTGCCTCTTTAAGTCTGCTGTTATTTAAAAATAATGTAAAATAATGTGTAGAAATGTTGTGAGTTTGCATAGGGGAGTCACTGTTCTAATGTCAGACTGACCTGTCTGGCCTTTAGTCCATGACCGAGGGCCCAACATTGGGAGGGGGCCCGGCGGCTTGCCCATTATGCCGCCAGGTGCAAGGCTCCTCCAACCTGCCATGAGGGAGAGCCACCACCGACAGTCTGCAGCTCCGCCGAGTGTTAGCTGCAGACTGTGAAGTGTCTCGCAATCTCCTGCCTGTTGCGGTCGCCGGCTCGCCGCGTGGCACGGCCGTGCCCAAACGACACAGCCTCGCCGACAGCATAAGCTTACCTGCTCGTCGGCAAGCCGGCAACCACTCCCCCAGGTCTTCCGGGCGTCGCGCCCAAATTAAAGATGGCGCTGACCGCGTGGTCGCGTCCATCTCTAGCTCCACCCCCGAAAATTATAATAAGGTGCGCGTGACGTCACAACATCAACGCACACGTACGTTTTGGGGTCAGAGGTCGCCCTCTGACCAATCAGAGCATAGAGAGGGATATTTAAATCCCTAGCTCTCCCCAGTATCTTGCCCTGTCGTGGTTTCCTGTTCCTGGTTTCCTGAGAGTGCTTTATCTTTGTGAATCTGATTTCCTGGTATCCTGATCTTGGCTTTTCCCTGGCTATTCTGAATTCTGGTTTCCCTGACTTGGCTTGTGTAAATGGTATTGTGTTTTTTCTGGCTTCCTTGACCTCGGCTTTCTCTGTCTCTAGCGTATTAGTCCGGCCATTCTAAGGTCCGGTTTACGCTCTGTCCTTTTATTTTCCTTTTCCTTCTTATGTATATGTTTACATAGTTTCTGCATGCTGGACCACACTAGTAGTCGTGACACTGCCAATCAGAGTGGCCCGGCGGAGCTGCTGACTGGATAGGAAGCCCACTGGACCACCAGGGAGCAAGGACACTGTACCCTCTTCTTCCCTCACTATGCTTCCTGTCATCCCCTCACTGGTGATGGCGGTCCATTCCTTCTCTCTCTCCCCTTTCCAGTGCTCCCGGACAAGGTCTAAGGGCCCTCTCACCCTCCGTCCGAACATTAGTTCACACGCGGGGAGAATTCTGTAGATTCCTGGGGCACTTCCTGATATGCGAACAGGAGATGTGGCAGGAATTTCTCCCAATCCTTGCGAGTCTCTGAAAAGGTACGGAGCATTTGCTCCAACGTGCCATTGTAGCGCTCGCACAGACCATTCGTTTAGGGGTGATATGGGGAGCTCAGGATCGGTCTAATGGCTCATAACCTCCACAGCTGGTTAGTCATCTTGGCAGTAAATTGGGTGCCCTTATCCAAGAGTATCTTCCGGGGAAAACCCATCCGGGAGAACACTTGCATCAGGGCATTGGCCACAGTCTCTACCTGAATGTTGCTCAGGGCGACTGTCTCGGGCTACCCAGTCTCATAGTCCACAATGGTCAGAATATGCTTCTTCCCCGAAGGGCTAGGATTTACCAGGTGACCTATGATGTTGACAGCTACTCTGCAGAAGGGGGCCTAGATGATGGGGAGGTGCTGGAGCTTGGCCTTTTGCTGATCGCCGCGCTTCCCCACTCTCTGGCAGACATCACAAGTCTGGCAATACTGCCTCAGATCCTTTGAGACGCCCGGCCAGAAGAAGCTTTGGGTGAGCAGATGCTCGGTAAGATCCCTTCCCAAATGCCCTGCCAGGGGAATATCGTGAGCTATCTTCAACAGCTCATTTCTGTGCGCCACCAACTGTTTGGTGGTAGTAGGAGCTGTCCCTGCCTTCCCTTTCTCAGCTACGCGGTATAGCAAGCCCTTCTTCCAGATAAACTGTTCCTCGTCCTTCCTCGTATAGGGATAGGTGGCCCTATCCCTATACGTCTTAAGGGTAGGGTCGGATACTACCTCCCTCCCAAACTTAGCAGGGGTATCCCAGGGCAAGGGGTCCGAGGCACCGGGAAGGGGGGTTAGCACAGGGGGGGCTGCCTGCCTGGGCGATTACGGGGTTATGGGCACTAGCCTGGGGGACTTGCTTATAGGGGCGACTGCGGGAGGCTGGGGCCTGGGAATGGGTACGTGTGCCTACCTGAGCCTCAGAGTGTGAGCCATGCTGGGTGGCTCTAGAGCCACGTTGCCCCTGGACGGTGCGTCCATTCAGCTGTACCGGCTGTCTGTGGTTCGGTTGTCGCCAATGGCTTGGAGGGGAGCCACCTCACGCAGGATGAGATAGGCATCCTGGTTGTGGGTTGGGGGTTATTTGGGGGCAGCTTGGTAATAGTGGGCTGCTGCTCTTGGAGCCAGGGCGACCATGGGGCAAACCCACTGAGGTTTGTTCCTGAGCTGCGTGCACTCTTTCTTGACGTGGCTGGGTTGTTGGCAGTGGTGACATCTGGAGGCAACCTGCGGTGGTACCCTCAGGTTTGGCCCCGGGACCGGAGGGTTTCTGGGTGGTAGGTAGGTCAGGGCTGCCGGGCACAGGGGAGGTCGGTAGCTGGGATAAGTAGTGGGACATTGGGGCTGCCGGGTATCGCTATACTCGTCAAGCATGCAAGGGGTGTACCACACAATCCAACAAAGTTACATCCCAGGATCCTCGCCTTTCCCGGTGTTTCCAAAAGCCCACCACCCAAAACAGAGGGATTCCCACATCCGGGGACTTCATTCCAGGAATTGCCCACACCAATCTCAGGTACCCTCGCAGCGGTACCTTCCTCGACCAGGCTCCGCTCGCGAGGTCCCTGTGTGAAACCCTGCAAGGGAAGCATCTCCTTTCGGGACACAAATGCTCTCCCTGAACGACATTCATCTATACGAAATAGTGGCCACCCAGGGAAGCATACATTAATTACTTCCCTTGCGGTTTCACATGTATGTTGCAAGTGAGAATGTTCTGATTAATTGGTGTGAATGTTCCAATGGAGCGCTGGGGAGGTCCTCATTCAGTTACGAACAAGTCGGGAAAAATCCACGAACGCTCCCCCTGGCCGGCACTCGTCTGTACAAATGGATGCCAGCCAGAGGAGCGCATATCAATTGTTTCCTGTGCGGTTTGCGATTTGACACTTATGTTGCAAGGTGTTAAAGTTCTTAACTAAAATTCTAAAAGAGGTATTGGGATGGTCCCCGTTCAGGAGGCAAATTAATTTCCTTTGTGGAGGCACTCGAATGGGGAGTGGGCAGAATATACAAAAAGCCTGGAAGACACATAATATCAGACAGGCAATTCACGTATAGGCAGTGGTCCCGCCACACATACATACTGACACACAGACAGACATACTGACATAAATACTAACACACAGATACACACACAGACATACTGACACACGCAGACAGACATACTTGCACACACAGACAGACATACTAACACACACAGACATACTGACACATACACACACAGACAGACACACACACACACAGACAGACTGACACACACACACACAGACATACTGACACACCCAGACAGACATACTGACACACACATACATACTTCAAAAGGAATAAACGGAGGCAACACTCCAATAGTAAGGATGGTATAGTTATTGATAGGTAAACTACCTCATAGAAAGTGCGACGTTTCGGCTCAGCAGAGCCTTAATCATGCATATGGATATCAACGTGCAAATGTGCATAAACAACCCCACAACCAATTAATTCATCAATAGAAATAAAAACATGTATCTAAATGACATACACAATATAATTTTTTCAAAGTATGAAGCAGTATAGCTAAATATATGGCATGGAATTTGACAAGGCATAAGATGAAATGTTTTACTGTTAAAGGCACAGTGCAACAATAAAGGTTATATTCCAGCAAACTAACTTAAACATTTAGAGCAAACTTGATCAATAAGTTGCAGATGGTGGAAGCATGTGTGACGGACCCTCCGTCAATCGATGCTCGTAGTGCTTACCACGACCATCAGCTCTGCACCAGGCACCAATAGCACTGCAGTCCCCACGTCCAGCGTTACAGCTTGGCTGGGAACTCGCTGTCCTCTGCCCACCCTGGACCTACGACAAGGCTTCAGGTTCCAGTGGGTGAACCTCTCCTCCAAGAGAGTTTAGCAGGAACAAGCTCTTAAAAGAGCTTAGTGATTATAGCTCAGGGGATTATATAGAGTATAGAAATCCCCCAATGTAGATGCAGTCTTTTCCCCCACACATGAGACGAGGCTCTATGTTGTGGGTAAAACAGAAACTCAGCAGATCTGAGGGTTTATTGTCTTTTATACAGTTTTCCCCACAAGGTTACCACCCATGTGGTCCTTGTGGAGCACAGGACACAAAGTCACAAAACCAATCAGTTAGACAGTTGTACAGTTAGACACTGCCAGATAATGCACACATATCCTCCCCTCCGCTTGCAAGATAATTGAGTAAGATACTGTAATTAACTCAATTGTCCCCAAACAGAAAAAACTACTTTTTCACAAAACACAGAAAACACCCCAAAACACCACATATCCCCACAAATATTAAGATTATACATCCCTGGATAGCCCTGATCTGAGTGAACAACATATCCAAAAATCACCCACATCAGAGCAGGGGTTCAGGAAATTCCTGGAAGCCACATTTGACCGACCCCACACGCACATTTTCATGCCTAAAACAGTTCCAGAGAATTAGGCTGTGCGGCTGGTCTATTTCCAACTCTTAAGTTCCGTTTGAATTCACAAACGGGGGCCATTTGTGCAAATAGTCAATGTTAAAGTGGCGTTCGAATTGTCGAACGCCGTTCAACTCCTGTCAAAGTGTTGAAGTCCTGGAGAAGCTAAAGTTCAGCCGTGTTCGTGCCGGCGCGTGTCTGATTTGAGTACCATGAACTCGACAGCAAAACACCTCTGAACACGTTCGTCTAAACAAGATGGCCGCCGCCACGTGTTCGACAATACGAATGGTGGCCACTTCGACTACTTCGGCTGTTTTCGAAGTGCTATTTCAAAAGTGCAAATCCTTTCCAATAATATTTAAAGGGGGGCAGAACAGTGCATTAAAATCCAATATGCACAAATAGAGTTTTTAAATGGCAATACACCCCAGGGGCCATAGTCACAGGGCAAGAGGCTGGCAAGCAGGCCTCTCCAAAACCCAGTGGCGAGGTTACTTTCGCCACATATCTCCCCCTCCCAGGGAAGACTAACCAGGTACCTGACCTCACGCCGGTCGGTACCTGAGTTAGTCTGGCAGCCCACCCACAACAAAGTACTGGAATTTGGTAGCCTGTCTCTGTCCAGTGAGTTCATCAAGGTTGTGTTGGTATCTGGTACTCCCGGTCTCTGGGTTGCTCTCTGGCTTGGAGTGGAGGTTACTTTGTGGGCAGAGATCAGCGGTACTCTGCCCTGGTGCCAGCACTTCAGCTGGGTAGACCGGTGCGCAGTCCTGCCCTGTAACAAAGGGACAGGTAGGGAAGAGCGCAGTCGGCCTCTGCCCTCCCCTATCCCCTTGTCCAGGGCCTGACTCCCTACAGGCTACACCAGAAGAAGAGCTGGCATCGGGCAGAGCGCCGCTGACCTCTGCCTTACCTGTCCCTTTGTTACAGGGACCCCGGATTACCCAGCTGAAGCGCTGATACCAGGGCAGAGCACCGCTGATCTCTGCCCACGAAGTAACCTCCACTCCAAACCAAAGGGCAACCCAGAGACCGGGAGTAGCAGAGGTCAGGTACCTGGTTAGGTACCTGGTTAGTCTTCCCTGGGATGGGGAGATATGTGGTGAAAGTAACCTCGCCACTGGGTTTTGGAGAGGCCTGCTTGCCAGCCTCTTGCCCTGTGACTATGGCCCCTGAGGTGTATTGCCATTTAAAAACTCTAGTTTTGCATATTGGAATTTAAAGCACTGTTCTGCCCCTTTAAATATTCAAAATGGCACTTCAGAAACAGCCGAAGTAGCCGAAGTAGTCGAAGTGGCCGCCATTCATAGGGCCACAGTGCGCGACCAGGCCTCTGCTAAAAACAAGCCCACCAGGTGGCCCTAATTGCATGGGCCACCCAGTGGGCCTACTTACTGTGTGGATCCCCGGCTGGCTGCAATGGCAGGGAAAAACATTCTTGATGGCACCTGCTTTGGGCCCCTTGAAGTCACTGGGCCCGATGCAGCTGCCCCGTTTCTCTGCGTTAAAGAGGCCCTGAATTCACCCTTTCCCTCCCAAACTCTGCCACCTTTCACCCCATCACTCGGCCACCTGTCACTCCCTCACTCAGTCACCTGAAACCCACTCACTCTGCTCCCTGTTACCCCCTAACTCTGACCCCTGTCACCCCCTTACTCTTCAACCTGTCAACCCCTCACTCTGTTCCTATCACCCTCTCACTCTGCCAACTGTTACCCCTGGCTTGGACAAGGGGATAGGGGAGGGCAGAGGCCGACTGCGCTCTGCCCTACCTGTCCCTTTGTTACACGGCAGGACTGCGCACCGGTCTACCCAGCTGAAGTGCTGGCACCAGGGCAGAGTACCGCTGATCTCTGCCCCTATCACCCCCTCACTCTGCCAACTGTCACAGCATCACTTTGCCAACTGTCACCCCCTTACTCTGCCAACTGTCACCCATCACTCTGCCAACTGTCACTCCCTTACTCTGCCAACTTCACCCCATCACTCTGCTCCCCTGTCACCCCATCACTCTGCAACCTGCCACCTCCTCACTCTGCCTCCTGTCACCCCCGCACTCTGCCACATGTCATACCCTCACTCTGCCACATGTCAAACCCTCCTTCCCTCACGCTGCCCACTGTCACCCCCTCCCTTATACTGCCACCTTTCACTCCCTCCTTCCTTAACTTTGCCGCCTGTCACCTCCTAACTCTGCCACCTGTCATTCCATCCCTCCCTTACTCTGCAACCTGTCAACCCCTCACTCTGTCCCTATCACCCCCTCACTCTGCCAACTGTAACCCCTGGCTTGGACAAGGGGATAGGGGAGGGCAGAGGCCGACTGCACTCTGCCCTACCTGTCCCTTTGTTACACGGCAGGACTGCGCACCGGTCTACCCAGCTGAAGTGCTGGCACCAGGGCAGAGTACCGCTGATCTCTGCCCCTATCACCCCCTCACTCTGCCAACTGTCACCCCATCACTTTGCCAACTGTCACCCCCTTACTCTGCCAACTGTCAGCCTATCATTCTGCCAACTGTCACCCCATCACTCTGCCAACTGTCACTCCCTTACTCTGCCAACTGTCACCCCATCACTCTGCTCCCCTGTCACCCCATCACTCTGCAACCTGCCACCTCCTCACTCTGCCTCCTGTCACCCCCGCACTCTGCCACATGTCATACCCTCACTCTGCCACATGTCAAACCCTCCTTCCCTCACGCTGCCCACTGTCACCCCCTCCCTTACACTGCCACCTTTCACTCCCTCCTTCCTTAACTTTGCCGCCTGTCACCTCCTAACTCTGCCACCTGTCATTCCATCCCTCCCTTACTCTGTCACCTGTCACCCCATACCTCCCTAATTCTGCCACCTGTCACCCCCTCACTCTGCCACCTGTCACCTCCACACTCTGCCACAATCTGCATCTGTCATCCTGTCTCTCCACACTCTGCCACCTATCACCCCCTCCACACTTTGCCACCTGTAGCCCTCTTTCACACCCCCTGTCACCCGCTTACTCTGCCACCTGTCACCCTCTCCCTCCTAAACTTCGCCACATGTCATCCCCTTTCACACTCTGTCACCCCCTCCCTCCCACACTCTGTGCCCTGTCATCCCCTCACTCTGCCCCCTGTCACGCCCTCACTTTGCCCCCTGTCATGCACTTACTCTGCCACCTGTCATCCCTCGCTCTATACCCTCACTCTACCTTCTGTCACCCCCTCACTCTACCTTCTGTCAACACCCTTCCCTGACTCTGCCACCTATAAACCCTAAACTATGCCACCTCTCACCCTATACCACCCTCGCTCTACCTTCTGTCACCCCCTCACTCTGCCCCGTCACCCCCTTCCCTTACTCTGCCACTTTTCACCCCCTCCCTCACTCTGCCACCAATCACCCCCCGTACTCACTCTGTCACCTGTCACCCCCTCACTCTGCCACCGGTCGCTCCCTTTTTCCCCTACTCTGACACATTTCATCCCCTCCTTCCCTCATGCTGCCCACTGTCACCCCCTGCCTCACTCTGCCACATTTCACCCACTCATTCCCTCACTCTGCCACCTGTCACCCCCTCACTCTGCACCCCCTTACTCTGCCAACTGTCACCTGCTTACTCTGCCACCTGACACCCTCTCCCTCCTAAACTCTGTCCCGTCACACCCTCATTCTGCCCCCTGTCATGCCCTCACTCTGCCCACTGTCACGCCCTCACTCTGAGCCCTGTCACCCCTTCACTCTGCCACCTGTCACCCCTCGCTCTATACCATCATTCTACCTTCTGTCACCTCCTCCTTCCCTCACTCTGCCACCTGTCACCACCTCCTTCCCTCACTCTGCCACCTGTCACCCCCTCACTCTGCCACCTGCCACCCTCTCTTTCCCTTACTCTGCCACATTTCCTCCCTTCCCCCTACTCTGCCACCTGGCACTCCCTCCACACTCTGCCACCTGTCACCCCCTTTCACACACTGTCACCCCTTCTCTCCCACACTCGGTCACCTGTCACCCCCTTTCACACTCTGTCACCCCCTTCCTACTACACTCTGCCACCTGTCACCCTTTCCCTCCCTCACTCTGCCACCTGTCACCCCCTCCTTCCCTCACTTTGCCAACTGTCACCCCCTAACCTGTCATTCCATCCCTCCCTTACTCTGCCACCTGTCACCCCCTAACTCTGCCACCCCTCACCCCATCCCTCCCTTACTCTGCCACCTGTTGCCCCCTTTTTTCCTTACTCTGACACATTTCACCCCTCCCTCCCTTATTCTGCCACCTGTCACCCCCTCCCTCCCACACTCTGCTACCTGTCACTTCCTCACTCTGCCACCTATCACCCCCTCACTCTTCCCCCTGTCACCCCTTCACTCTGCCACCTGTCATCCCTTCACTCTGCCACCTGTCATCCCCTCACAGTGCCACCTGTCACCTCTCACTGTGCCACCTGTCATACCCTCACTCAGCCACCTGTCACCACCTCACTCTGCCCTGCCACCCACCTTTCCGTACTCTGCCACCTGTCACCAGCTCCATCCCTCACTCTGCCACCTGTCATCCCCTAACTCTGCCACCTCTCACCCCATCCCCCCCTCACTCTGCCACCTGTCACTCCCTCCTTCCCTCACTTTGTCACCTGTCACCCCCTCTTTCCCTTACTCTGCCACATTTCATCTCTTCCCTCCCCTACTCTGCCACCTGGTACTCCCTCCACACTCTGCCACTTGTCACCCCCTTTCACACAGTCACCCTCTCTCTTCCACACTCTGCCACCTGTCACCCCCTTTCACACTCTGTCACCCCATTTCACACTCTATCACCTCCTCCCTACCACACTCTGCCACCTGTCACCCTATCCCTCCCTCACTCTGCCACCTGTCACCCCCTCCCTCACTCTGCCACCTTTCACCCACTCCTTCCCTTACTGTGCCACCTGTCACCCCTAACTCTGCCCCCCATCCCTCCCTCATTCTGCCACCTGCCATCCCCTCCTTCCTTCACTCTGCTACCTGTCACCCCCTACCTTACTTTGCCACCTGTCACCCCCTTATTCTGCCACCTGTCACTCCCGCTTTCCCTTACACTGTTACATTTCACCTCCTCCCTCACTCTTCCACGTGTCACCCCCTCCCTGACTCTGCCACCTGTCACCCCCTCCACGCTCTGCCACATGTCACCCCCTTGTTCCGTTGTTCCAAGCGACCCAAGCCAAAACTGGGGAAGAAGTCATGCAGCTAATCCTGTTTGAGCAATTTTACAATTGGCTGAATCCAGAAGTACAAGAGTGAGTAAGGGACCAGAAAGCCACCACCTTAACTGAAGCAGCCTGCCAAGCTGATGAACACCAAGACGCTCGCAGGCAGCATCGACCTAGTCTCAGACCCCTGAACACCAACCCTGGGCCGCCAGTACAGCAATGAAGAAGGCACTTACCCAACCTACAAGTACCCCGATACCCATCACGCATCGGAATACAGTGCCATCGGTGCAAACAGTTAAGACACTACCAGAGAGACTGTACTCAGGGGGCGAAACCAAGCTTTGTGGATTCAACCAGGGCCACCTTCCCCAGTGCAGGCAGCAGTCCACTACTATCATGCTCACAGGCAGCAATGACCTAGCCACAGACCAATGCTCAACCCCCTGATCACCAACCCTGGACCACAACTACCACAGACAGAAGGGAACTCCTCGCAGGCACCCAAATACAAATCTTGTAGTGTTTTCTTGTGCAAGCAGTTTGAGCACTATCAATGAGATTGTACCCCGAGGCAAAACCAAGCGTTGTGGATTCGACCAGGGCCACCTCCTCCAGTGCGGACAGCAGCCCACTACAATCACACTATAATTCATGTAGAATACACATTATGCAGTAAAATGAATGTCCTAATGAAAAATAAATACAAAATAGTAGCAAACATGTATCAGAATGTTAGACAAAATGTAACAGCTCATACAAATGATAAACAGAAAATCCCTGCTATGGAAACAGCCAGGGAGCCTGCCTGCTGAGCTGTATAATATGGTATCAGAACTTAAATCCCAATGATATAATAGTTTTATACATCAAATAATAGTGGGTATGGTCTTTCATATGTAAGAAGACCACCAGGACCTGGATAGTTTCTTTGTGTACACCACAATCAGAAAGGATGACTAAATTGTGCAGCAACTTGAGATATGCTCACAGAGTCTCAATCCTAACAGCCTGGATGCTGCTATGTGACTGTCTCCTTTGTGCCGGCTTGAGAGACAGCTGTGGAGTACGAGATGAAAAACGGCTGCTTAGACGATCATCGCGTGCGTTCCACTGCGGCTCGATGTGCGTTCCACTGCGGCTCGATGTGCGTTCCACTGCGGCTCGATGTGCGTTCCACTGTGCTGACAGTTTCAAGATAGTGAAGATTGATGCAGCCTTACCAGTTTCGTGACTCTGTTTATTTCGGTATTTAAAAGGCACTTATAATTATACACACATACAAAGTATAAAGTGAAAGAAGTTCAATATGATATTAAAAATGTAAGACATACATAGAAATAGTGAAAAGTGGAAGAATATAAAAATATAAACACATAAAAAAATATATAAATATAGCATATGGAATTATACCATCTTTATGCTGTGGAAGAGTCTTTGAATGGTAGTTTAGGTAAAGTTTTATGTAGAGATAATCATATCTTATAATTTATATAGGGAATGGAATGATATATAATAAAAAATGTGAATAATTATAAAAATAATTATAAAAAATATCAGAAAAAGTATCAGATAATAAAATCGAAAAAAATATATTATATATTATAAGCGCAGAAGCTAGAACTATAAGCTAGAGCTAAAAGTCAAATTGGGAGGCTTACGGGTACCCCTTCTAAAAGACTATCAAAAAACCTGAAATGTATCACGTCTTCATCACTCAATTAGAAAGAACAAATAGATTATAAAATTGAACAGTCCTTGATTCAGACTGAGCAGCACAATATTGATCTCAGCCCTTTACTCTGGCTAATAAAGAACAAACAGAGAAGCCCTCTATTAATGAAATGTGATAGTATGATTCTTAATAATATAATAAGGTATTGGAAGAAATGCAAAGACGAGTTATCAATTTAATAAAAAATAATTACTTGCCTTCCTATAGTCTATTTATCGTATAATAGCTGACTTAAGAATACAAAATTAGATTAAATGTGGACTTTAAAAAAAAGTTATTTAATAAATAACAACTTGAAAGATTTTCATTCTTTGAGTACTGAATATAACTTAGATAGTAAAAAAGTCTTTAACTATCTAAGAATAATGGGTTTCTAGCGCAACCACTTAGCTACTGAAAAATCAAATAAATGTAATATATTGGAAAAGCTATTGAAAAAAAATGACCCCAACGAAGATTGTAGCTGGTTGTCTAGAACTAGTTAGAAGGGAGCCTGATACACCTATCTAACCCATTCTTAAAGGACCACTATAGTGCCAGGAAAACATCGTTTTCCTAGCACTATAGTGCCCTGGGGGTGCCCCCACCCTCAGGGCCCCCTCCCGCCGGGCTGGATGGCGAGGAAAGGGGTTAAACTTACCTTTTTTCCAGCACCGGGCGGGGAGCTTTCCTCCTCCTCTCCGCCTCCGATCCTCCTCTTCGGCTGAATGCGCATGCGCGGCAGGAGCTGCGCGCGCATTCAGCCGGTCTCATAAGAAAGCATTTACAATGAAACTGCTATGAAACTGCTATGTTTATTAAAAAAAAAGGGTTAATCCTAGAGGGACCTGGCACCCAGACCACTTCATTAAGCTGAAGTGGTCTGGGTGCCTAGAGTGGTCCTTTAAGAAGTGGGATGCAGATCTAAATTTTCAAATTAGTTGCGATAAATGGAAGAACTCTTGGAGCGTGGTTCATAAAAACATTCATTGTCTCAAGCTACTGGAGTGTAATTACAAGCTTTTAAATAGGTGATATTTGGTTCCAAGTTTATTGTCTAATTTCTTTACAGATCAGGAGCATAGCTGGAGATGTGGGGACTGAAGAGGTGAATTTGTACACATCTGGTAGGAGTGCCCTCCTGTTCATTTGTTTTGGAGTATGATCCAGAGTAAGATTCAAGCATCAATCAGTAAACCCTTCCAATGTGGTTCTGACCTATTTCTATTACAGCTCAAAGTCAAACATACTTTTGAAAACCATACTCCCCTGGTTACTCATATACTGCTAGCCTCAAAAATCATGATAGCCAGACATTGGAAATCACCTTTCACCCCATTTTGGTCTTTGGTTAAGGAACAGCTCAAATTTCAACCAAAAATGGAAAGATGGATTATTAAGGTTCCCTAAGATGTATTGATTTAATGGCTTATTCTCTCATTCCATTGAAGGTAACAAAAAAAAACTCAATTTGTTTAAAAAATACATAGGGATTAAGGAGAGAGCGCAGGTAACTTGTTTTTCTTTGGTTTTTACTATATATTGGGGCTGATGTGTACTGTAGTCTTTGCTGCCGCCCAGTAGTGATGGGAGTGAGCGCAGGACTTATCTTTCTGCATTTGTATTGATTTAATGGCTAAGTCTAAGAGAGAACCACTAAAGAGTGATTATACTTCACGACACTGTACTCCTTTTTTGTATTTACTTTTATACTTTTATTGGTCTGGTGGAATGTTACGTCCAGGATTTTGTATTCCCTCCAGGACTCCAATTTGAGGACCTACCCGTTGACATAAGGGTTATTTGAAAAATAGTTATGGCCATTTTGTCTTGTCTTGTTTGTCCTATGTCTCTCTAAGTATGTCTGTCTATTTAAACCTTGCCTACAGGGTACAATGATTAGGTATGCTGGTTTAAGATCAGGTTGTTATGTATTTTTGTGATATTCTTTGTAGGTGAATTTTTGTATTGCAATTGTTAATAGCAGCATATTGTGTCCCTGTTTGCAAATAGATAATTATTAAAAAATAAACATTAAAAAACATTTACTTATACATAATGTCACATTTGTTGTGATCAAAATAACTATTTGCCTTAATAACTTTTAATAAAGACAACACAGTGCCATTTTAATCAGAAAGGGGTTTATGTTAATGAGATATTTGGAAGCAACCTGTAGTAATTACTAATTAGATTAGCATTTTAATGAGGCATATGGTTCATGTCTTAAAGGGGTAATTTATACTCATTTGAATAGTGTGCACTTAACCAGACATCTTCATATGCTAATAAATAGGATGAAAATGAGGTGACATACAGTCTGTTGAAATGTAAATAACCAGATACTGTTTAGTACTGGGTAGACAAAATAAAATAAAGAAGTACAAGATGTCCACAGGCTATTAATTGGTGGAGAGGAGATCAGTGGAGAGGTGAGATCATTTAGATTACATAATGTTTGGAGAGGGAGTAGTTAATGACAATAAGCATATAGCAGGTAAGGCCAATAAACAAGCCCACCAGATAGGTGGATCGAACGTCTGTTACTAAAGCGCTCCCCTCACTCTCTCAGAATCACCATCTTGAGTGCCTTTGAGGAAATTTTTCTCAATCCCAACTCTTGCTAGCATCTTCCTGCTAACCTGCTCTACCACAGCCCATCATTCTACAGGCCTTTTGTTTGGTTTCCAGACAACGTTTGAATAAGACACACATACAAGGCTTTCTAAAATTTGATCTCTAGTCCAGAGGCCTTCTTCAAAGATTTTACCTGCAGCTCTGATCCCAGCGCAAACCCTACTCCAGGGGCCTTGAAGAATTCCAAGAAGAACTCTCTGAAAGCCTAGTTAGCCAACAGTGAGGTTTACTACAAGAACCATGGAAAACAATTATTTTTTTCCCAACCAAGAAGGGAGTGATCCACAAGTTCATCTACCCGAATATGAAACGTATCAAGAAAATACGCAAGGTGTTACTGGCATGGGCCATCCACCTAGCTCACAGTATACGCAAGCCCACCCTGAAATTACACCTGACTATGAAGATTGTATTCAACAAGATGACGGGCAGTTTCCATCTCAGTCGACAAAAACTAAGAACCAGGTCCCCCAGTACCATAACAGCAGTACACAGCCTAATGCTTACTACGCAATGAATTCTGGACAGCCATTGATACCACCACCAAACCCATATGATATTCCTGGCTACATAAGCCAAGTATCTCCCCATCAAGCCACCAGTCCTGTAAGCATGAATCGGCCCACTTCCCCACAGGCCATGTACTATGCTGCTCATGTGGGGCAAGTTAACTACCCCATGCACCACTACCAAAAACCTTCACTAGCTAGGGCTGAAAGCTGCACGCCTACAAGTACTATATCTAGTGCTTGGAACTGCACCCCTTCAAATACCATATCTAGTGCTTGGAATGGCACCCCTGCAAGTACCATATCTAGGGTTGGAAACTGCACCCCTACAAGTACTTTATCTAGGGCTTTTAACTGCACACCTTCAAATACCATATCTAGTGCCTGGAATGGCACCCCTGCAAGTACCATATCTAGGGTTGGAAACTGCACCCCTACAAGTACTTTATCTAGGGCTTTTAACTGCACACCTTCAAATACCATATCTAGTGCTTGGAATGGCACCCCTGCAAGTACCATATCTAGGGTTGGAAACTGCACCCCTACAAGTACTTTATCTAGGGCTTTCAACTGCACCCCTTCAAATACCATATTTAGTGCTTGGAATGGCACACCTACAAGTACCATATCTAGTGCTTGTTGCTACACCACTACAAGTACCATATCTAGGGCTGGAAGCTTCGCCACCAGAAGTACCATATCTAGTGCATGGAATGGCACCGCTACAAGTACCATATCTAGGGCTGAAAGCTTCGCCCCTTCAAGTATCATATCTAGGGCTTTGGAATGTACCCCAACAAGTACCATATCCAACACATTAAGCTGCCCTCCTACAAATACCATATCTGTGACTGGAAACTGCACCCTTACAAGAACCATACCACAGGCCTCCACTGGAAAAGTAGTCTCAAATGTTGAGGTGAGTATTTACTAATTCAAACTCATGCACTGTTTTACTCTGTGGTACCTTTATTTAACTACATGTTTGGACTACTTTGCAAAGTTATTTATTTTTTAGCTAGTTACAAATACTTTTAACATTTCTCATGAAATTGGAAACCAAAATGTTGGAGATAGTTTATTGTTTTATTCAGAAAATTAATACTAGTTCACATTCCTTGTAAATATGAAATTGTCCACGTATAAATGGCTCTTTAATGAAAAGTTCACTTTAAAAAAAAAAAAAAAAAGTTAATTACGGTAGAAAGTGGTGAATATGCAAATATTTGGTATGCTTGGTTTAATGTCTAAATTTTAATTTTATTTATAGTAAACATAAAGTTGTAGTGCATTGACAACTGAAAAATGTAGGCCAACATTTGGAAAAGGGGAAAAATATTTCAATTATTTTTATTTGAAGAATTTTTCAAGCTTGCCACTTTGATCCAATTTTTTTTTACTCCACTTGATTTAGTTCAACTCACTGTTTACTTAATAAATGTGTCTTTTTATTTAATGTGGAATTTAGCTGTTGCAGGTATGGCTGTAATGAGGTAATGGCTGTCCATTAGGATTTCCTTGTGAAGCCTGAATATGGAGGACAATTACATATTATATATTGTCTTCTAAAACGTTAACCTATTTTCTGCCAAAATAAACTCAAACCCGACTTGAGGTCTACTTTATCTATAAATAAACAGTGAAAATTGTAGTTCAAATAAGTCTTCTGCATAAAATTGATGGCAATGTTGGCTCCAACCAGAACACTGTGTCTATTTCAATCTGGGTGTACATGCATCTATGCTGGCCCCAATTTTCCATCCTGTAATTGGTGCTTCTGTATGGTACATATATATTTGCATTGAATCACTAGTAAATAAAACATGCATATAACAAACCATGACTGTGGTTGATGGAGATCTGGACCTTTGTAGCTGTTGTGCTCTAAACACTTTCAAAATAATTAAAAATGTTTTCTTGAACCTCAAGTATAACACTTGCTCTTTACATTCACAGGATCAATCAAGCATGACTGAGCTGAAAGAATTTGCCCAAAAAGTTAAAAAGCAGAGGGAGTCATTAAGGCTTACCCAGGAAAACGTTGGGGACGGACTAGGAGTTTTATACAGTAAGATCAGATATAAGAAGTTACTAATATATCGAATTTTAAAAAACCCAAAAGAAAGATATTTATATTTTCAGTTTGTAAAAAAATTAAAACAATCCATAAATAAAAATCAACTTATATTTTAAAAGGGAAAATCTGGTATTTTTAATACAGAAAGTATAATTATCTAAAATATATATTATTGATACATTATTATTATTTTTTATATATGAATGGATGGATATCATATTCTGTATATTTTGTGTGATTAATTCACTCTGATCCTTTGAGAAAGCACAGAGAGGGCATTTAATGCAAATGTATTTCTTTTTCCAACAACACTTTGGAATAATGAAATTCAATGTGGATGTTATCCCTGAATTTGATGGCATGCAGTAGCCTTTGATTTCAGTCATGAGCCCAACTCTTGGAAATATGAGATAATGCAAGGTCAAAGATAGGAAACTCATGGAAACATGCACCGGGATACAGTTTCATTGTACCAAAGGATCACGTTTGTGTAAAATGCTCATTGTAAACTTTTCAGGTTGCAGTTGCAATGTCAGAGTGCTGTCAACCTAAATATATAAAAAAAAAAAAAAGTCAATAATGAACTAAAAAGGTAATAAAAAAAAAGCTCTTTCCATATTAATAATAATATTAACATTATTACTATCTTAATTGATTTAGTTATAAATAATAGAGTTTTGTTTAAAATCAGAACACCTGGACATCACGTAACAGACAAACCATCTACTTTGTTACAGAGAAATCATTTAGCCAAACAACAATCTCCAGATTTGAAGCTGTCCAACTGACCCTTACTAATATGCGGAAACTGAAACCAATGCTGGAGAGATTTTACAAGGAAGTTGAAACAAATACAGCTATTCGAAAAGTAAGTAAAACAATTTTTATTTTGAGAGCATGTACAGGGATTTATACTCTAAAGATTTATTTATATCAAGTTGGTCATTGTTGTTAAAATTCCACAATTATCAGCAGTGGAATTTTATCGTACTAAAACAGCTATATCCTCGTATCTCCCAACATTGGGAGGTATGGAATTGGGAAGCACGTAGATGGTCCCTAGGGTCATTGTCAGTGACTTGTGTCACTTGTGATGCCCACAATGGATGAGTCTGCCTGCAAAAGGGAGTGGGTTGGCCAATTGAAGTGGTGTGTCAGTCTGGTGTCAAACACACGAAGCTGACTGACAGTATCTATGGCCAGTAGACCGAGATAGGCAACCTTTGATGATGGACTACATTTCCCATGATGCTTTCACAGAATTATGGTTGTAAGGTATTATGGAAGATGTAGTACCAAAGGTTGCCTCCTCTTTTGGTAGACATTGCAGAGAGTACTGCTGAAGCACACTGTGTATGATCCTAGTAGTTGCAACTGCACTGAAAACACTAGTAAATAAATAACAATTTTGAATCACAAGCTATAACTGGGCCAGATCATTTTCAAGAGGAAATGTAGCTGTTTTATTCCAAACACTGTCAACACGGAACAAAATCGCGACACTGGGACAGGACCCCAAAGGAGGGACAATCTAACCAAAATCGGGACATTTGGGAGGCCTGTAACCCTGCATGTTCCTTTTCAGTTTTTGGATTGCGGATGAGTTCTCTGTTCAGTTTACGGTAGCTGAAGGGTCCCACGTTAAAGCCATGAGAATTTCAGAGTTGGATAACTCATTGTTCAGTCTACATGCTGTAGGCTTCAGGAGTAAGACTATAGACCTAGGGAGCTACAAATTTCACTGCTATTTCTATGTAGAGCTGCAGAGATCAGTGTTTAGCTTGAAGAGAGATACTGAGTTCAGACTTATAGGAATATAACCATGATTTTTTTAACCGCTATTATTATTAATAGCATATTATTATCATCACTTAGGATGTGTATGGCATGTCAAGGAGAAGCATATCTTAATTTTGCAAAGTAGGAAATGAACATATGGCTAGTGATTTTAATAAATCACTGCTGATATAGTAGATATGATAAAAGGAGGTAATGAGCCCTCTGCTGTGTAATCAATGCACGGTGTGCAGGTAGCTATTGTGCTTGGGGTACTGTTGTGTTAGTGCCCCTTTAACTCTGGGAAATATGCTCATTACAAATGGTGGAATTTTTGGTTTCAAACTTGTTAATCTACTAGTTTGAAAAAAAATAATTCTGCGATTAACATGTTATTCTTTACATTTTTTTTTTAAACCCACTAGATTGTTGACAGAGGAGGAAAACCGAACAACTCTGTAAAAAGAAAAAAACGTACGTTCATTGATGAGAAAACAAAGCAAAAGTTAGAAGAGAATTATAAGCGGTTCCCTCATCCCAGTAAAGTGGAAATCGAAAGCATTTCAACAGAAATCGAACTAACATGTGATGTAAGTATTAACGATAAGAAGATTTCGATCAACTACTATGACATTACAATTAACAGTATTTCACTAAAGTGAGAATTCAGAGTGAATTCAAAGTGAACTTCAGATTTAAAGGGACACTATAGTCACCAGAACCAATACAGCATAAAGTGGTTATGGTGTCTACAGTCTTTCCCTTCAGGCCTTTTAATGTAAACACTGCCTTTACAGGCATGCAATACACACAAACACTGCATCTACTACACACATTATATTCACTACACAAACACATACTCTGCATCCACTACACAAACACAGACACTGCATCCACTACACACCAGTGGAAATCAACCTTTTTCTACCTACCGCCCACTAATGCATCTTTCTTGATGGAAAAATTTCCTTACCGCCCACCAGCTTTCGCGCAAGTGCAGAATATTTTTTAGAAAGGAGGGCGTTTAAAAAAAATAAATGTACGTATATTTATCTTTTTATTTCTTCTTAATGCATGTTTACAATGTTTTTAACTTTATAAAGTTTAATGAGAAAACAAAGAAAATTGAAATTACCTTTAACTAGTGATTAATGAGATCCTTGAGATTGATGCTGCGAGACTAAATATTTGATATATGGTTTGATTTTCGTAAGGAGCAAACGAAGGTCTCTTCTTTCGGTGATATTCAGACGACTTCTCTGTTTGCGCATAATATGATTTCTCATCTGTGCGTCAGCTCCCCTCCTCTCCCTCCTCAATGCCCCTCCCCCCACCTTTTTTTTTCTTCCCTTTTTTATATTTTTTAACCTTCCTTATAGCAATGCCCAGCAGGAAGGCTGAGCTAGGTAGCCCACTTACTATTATTAGACAACAATAATTCTCTCCTTTTCCTTCTTTCTCCTTTTTACAAGTACTCTGCTCCTTCTTTAACCTATTCTACAAGTACTCTGCTCCTTCTCTCTCCTTTTTACAAGTCCTCTGCTCTTTCTTTCTCCTATTCTACAAATACTCTGTCTACTGATGCCAGGAGCTGGAATATGACGTCATATTCCGGCTCCCGCGGCATCAGCAAACATCGCGCGAGGGAGCAGAGCAGAGAGGTTAGAGCTCCCTTGCCGCCTCGGATTAGAACTCTGCTGCGCCAGGGGGCCCAGAAGGTGACCTGGCAGGAGAGAGTGCTTCCCTCCTGCCGGTCACTGAAATCTTGCGCCCGCAAACCGCTCGCACCCGCTCGCCCACTCTAAAATGGAGAAATCCTCTCAAAAAGAGGATTTAGCCGCCGAAATCCCTACCGCCCACCTGGAATCCTGAAACGCCCACTAGTGGGCGGTAGGGACCAGGTTGACAACCCATGCACTACACAAACACACTCTCTGCATCCACTACACAAACACAGAGACTGCATTTACTACACATAATGGATGTAGGTGTGTTTTTATGGGCATGGCTTTGGGAAGGGGGGGCAGCATTTAATCCTTGGACCCAGGCAGCACAATGTCTTGGGCCTGCCCTGACTTAACTGTAATAGTAACCATCTTGTGGCAGAGTTCTAGAGATTTGAATACCAGTATGCACAATTTGGGTAAAAGAAGACTCTATAATTAATGCCAGTTGGACATACCTCAAATGATGTCATTTAAACCATAGTTTTGTAAAGAGTTTTTTCTACACTACTATTTTGGCCTTAAATTCCTCTGCAATCACCTTTTTAATTTTCACAAATTTCCACATGAATGAATAATCCTAAATGTTTTAGCTGGGACTAGAGGCAATTGTTCTCGCTGGTCCAAAAGTGAATATTTTAATGTATGAATTATACATATTTTATATTTCCTACATTTTTTGCTCTGCACAAATCAGACTTGGTACTTGTGAATGTGCCTTTAAATATAAAAAATTTGTTAATAATTTGACCACATGATAGAATCTCAATTAGAATCATGCACATAAGATAAATTCCTTTATTGACCACTCATTACTTTTATTATTTATTAATAGGTTGTTAATACATGGTTCTGTAACCGGCGTCAGCAGGAAAAGAAGGAACTGAACAAATGCCTGAAAGAGGAAGCCGTAGCATCTGGCAATTGTGCTCAACCCATTTCAACTCCTAACACAGGAACCTGTGCCAAGCCACCAGTGACAGTACCACAACCCTGCCTAATTGACATGACTGGATTAAATCGTACACCTTATATGGCAATAAATGACCAAAACGAACAATTTATCCAACATGCCATGCAAAGTATGCATACTGGAAACTATACTCAGTTAACCATGTTATAATCATATTTCTATTTTCCTCTTTTTACAGATAAACATTTCTTTCAAGCATTAGCCCACCTTGATCCCTTTTACTTCAGTTCATTGTGGTAGCCTTAACCCTACCACTTTGATTCTGTGTCATCATTTTTAACTCTCAAGCTGCATTTCCTCTCTATCAAAGACATTTCTGTGATGCTTTTAACCAAATCTTCATTATCATTCAACCTCATGTCCTTTATTAAGGGAATTCTCTCTAGACCTCAAACTCGCTGGACTTCCCATTAAGACCGTGTATATAGCTGTATATAGATTGTACAGTTGACAATGAACTTTTCGTATATGTATATATATAAATAATAAAATAGATAAATAAATAAATACTTTGTTTGTCTTTTTGTTTGGAACATAACATTTTGTGAATTTATACAAATGTTTTTTTGAGTTAGATTCTTCTTTACTGGCATATACAGAGGTTCACCCCAAACCTTCTACTTTGTGTAGGGAAAAAAGTGGTGCAGTGCAATATAAATATTTTCAACACTAAAAATTAATCATACAAGTATCATAAAAACAATATATTCCGTGCAGCAACCATTTGAAGCCTTGCAAAAGATACACTAAAATAATATAAAAATAGTGCTCATAAAATATCTACCAATTTACAATATATACCAATATACCAAAGCGATGTACATATAAAACATAAAATGTTATAACCACCAATCTTAAAGTGGTATAGTGCATGAAAATAGATACTAAAGTTGAATGTGTGGTCACAGCAATCTTCAAAACCACATACAAATACTTGTTTCAAAAACACTGCATTTACTAAATGTGCAATCACTTTGCGCAATGAGGGTTAAGATTTTGATCTTGATCTTAGTTGCCCTATTGCTGCAGAGTGGATAGACAATGGGTGCCACGGGGTCCACGTTTTTGTACTCCTCATCTACATCTTATGGCACCTTAATCACTATAGTGAGCTGTAGGTTATATAAAGCTGAGATTGCATCTGCCATTAATTAATTAAAATGAAGAATCTGATTCCCATGTAAAGTAATGTGCAGAAATGGAACAAACCAATGTTAATGTTGTGAGTTTACATAGTGGAGTAACTGGTCTAATGTCACTTGCAAAAAGAATTATATACAATAAAAACCAAAGGGAAAAAAAGTTACTTGTGCACTATCCCCAAATTATTGTGAGTGTGGCAGGGTGAAAGGGAATGTAAGTGTGTGTGTTGGGGTGACCGTTACACAGACACACAGGTGTGTACACTGACTCACATGTAGAGACAAAATACACTAACATGCAGATCCACACCATGAGGAAAGGGATCTAGGGGTGATTATTTCTGATGACTTAAAGGTAGGCAGACAATGTAATAGAGCAGCAGGAAATGCTAGCAGAATGCTTGGTTGTATAGGGAGAGGTATTAGCAGTAGAAAGAAGGAAGTACTCATGCCATTGTACAGAACACTGGTGAGACCTCACTTGGAGTATTGTACACAGTACTGGAGACCGTATCTTCAGAAGGATATTGATACCTTAGAGAGGGTTCAGAGAAGAGCTACTAAACTGGTTCATGGATTGCGGGATAAAACTTACCAGGAAAGGTTAAAGGATCTTAACATGTATAGCTTGGAGGAAAGACGAGACAGGGGGGATATGATAGAAACATTTAAATATATAAAGGGAATCAACACAGTAAAGGAGGAGACTATATTTAAAAGAAGAAAAACTACCACAACAAGAGGACATAGTCTTAAATTAGAGGGACAAAGGTTTAAAAATAATATCAGGAAGTATTACTTTACTGAGAGGGTAGTGGATGCATGGAATAGTCTTCCAGCTGAAGTGGTAGAGGTTAACACAGTAAAGGAGTTAAAGCATGCGTCAGATAGGCATAAGGCTATCCTAATTATAAGATAAGGCCAGGGACTAATGAAAGTATTTAGAAAATTGGGCAGACTAGATGGGCCGAATGGTTCTTATCTGCCGTCACATTCTATGTTTCTATGTTTCTATGTTTCTATGACACACATGTATATATACAAACACACAAACTAACACACAAACAGCTACACAGAAACACATACACACAGACACACATGCAGATACATGGACACACAGAATGACACACATTCAGATACAAACACTGACACACATACAGATACACAGACACACACTGACACTCAAATAGACTTACATGCAGATACACAAACACTGACAAACAGTCAAATGCACAGAATGCCACTCATACAGCAACAAACAGTGACACACTTAAAGATGAATAGTGACACACACTCACATACAGATACACAGACATACAGATACACATACAGACACACATGCAGACAAACAGATACACATACAGACACACATACATAAATACATACAAATACACATACATACAGACACAGATACACATACAGACACACATACATACATGCAGAAACAGACACACATACAGACACAGATACACATACAGACACATATACAGAGACAGATACAGAAACACACACACACATGCAAAATGTTTTACTCACCCTCCTGTTTCCTACCTTTTAGGTGCAGGAGGGTGACTTAGCTGGGGTCCAGTGGCTGGCTCAGGCTGATTGAAATTAGAGTACCCACTCTGATTCCCTCCTTTCTTTCTCCGCCCTTATGTGCTCTATATTAGATCCTCCCAACATGACCTCAACACAGGGGCCCGGTTGAACTGGTAAAGCCCTTGGAAATACATTGCATCGGGTGGCCAAAAGAGCATGGGCCACCTGATAGGCAGTTGAACATCGAAGGGGTCCCTTTGGGGTTATGGGCCCGGTCGCAGCTACGACCATGGTACGTCCGCCACTGCCCTATACATTTATTAACCGTCAATAATGAACATATGGGGTGAATGGCAACACTATAATATGCTTGTGTAAAACAAAAGCAAATACACATATACAAAAATAAGTCCTGTGCTCCAACTCTCATTACTTCTGGTTGGCAGCAATGACTATAGTATACATCAGCCCCAAAACATATAATAAAAAACAAAGAAAAAAAATAAAAAGTTACTTGTGCACAATCCCAAATCCCTATGTACATTTAACCCCTTAAGAACCAAACTTCTGGAATAAAAGGGAATCATGACATGTCACACTTGTCATGTGTCCTTAAGGGGTTAAGCAACTGGAGGCTGCTCAGTTGTTGTAAGTTCTTATATAGTTATATGGTGAAGCATTATATTTTCACCATTTTAACACACAGTCAGATCTAATGAAAAAAAGGACATAACATGACATCTCAATTAATTTAAAATGTATTATATTTTTTCCAAAATGTTCTAATATTTGCGTCAGAAAATTATTGAGTGCTAGTGGTGCATACGTCTGTTTGCACTGTCCCCTATCTTTGTAAAGCAATTTGGGAAAAATATGACAAAAATAAAGCACAAGGCACTGCCCTTTACCTATTGACCTACCCCTCTCCAGCTTCATTTATAATGAGCAAACTTCCATATTATCATGTGTGATTCCTACCATGCTAGACAAGAATAATAGGCTGAAAGTTCTGGGGTGCCTTTTCCTGAGAATTGATTCCAGAGTGAAAAACACAGTGACATATTGTAACAGCCCAAGGCACCATTTTCTTACTCAGTTGCTGTGGCAAGTTCGAATTGGCTCATATTCTATTCATGAGAGAAACAGTTGAATAAGCTGATTGCACATATGACTTATTGTAGCACATATAGGGTCTTCGGTTATTGACCTTATTGACCAGATTACCCCACATTTGTACAACATTACTGATGGTCATACATTTCTACCTCCATAATTAGTTGAGATATATGCATCCTTAGGGCTAACATGGACCTTTATTCAGTTGTGACTCAGGAACGTCGATTCATGTTTACAAACATTTTATTAATCAATATAGATTGTTAATAGGTCTATTTAATACCCATTATAAAAACTACATTAGGTTGTGCCATTCTGTGCATCTCAATGGCCACTGTGCTCAAAATGGCCTCCTAACAACAAATAGTTTTTGTAGTGTATGTGTAAATCAAAATGAAGACAGTACAGTGTCATTTGACTCAGAATGGGATTTATGTCAATTAGATAGTTGCAAACAACCTGTAGTAATTACTAATTAGTTTAGCATTTTAATGAGGCACATGGTTCATGTCTTAAAGGCATAATTTATACTCATTTGAATAGTGTGCACTGAACTAGACATCTTCATATGCTAATAGATAGGATGAAACTGAGGTGGCAGACAGTCTATTGAAATGTAAATATCCAGATACTGTTTAGTACTGGGTAGACAGAATAAAATAAAAAAGTAAGAGATGTTTACAGGCTACTGATTGGTGGAGAGGAGATCAATGGGGAGGTGAGGCCATTTAGATTACATATTGGTTGGAGAGGGAATAGTTCATGACAATAAGCCAATAGCAGGTAAGGCCAATAAACAAGCCCACCAGAGAGGTGGAGCTAACGTCGGTTACTAAAGCGCTCCCCTCACTCTCTCAGAATCACTGTCTTGAGTGCATTTGAGGAAATTTTTCTCAATCCTAACTCTTGCTAGCATCTTCATGCTAACCTGCTCTACCACAGCCCATCATTCTACAGGCCTTTTGTTTGGTTTCCAGACAAAGTTTGAATGAGACACACATAGAAGGCTTTCTAGAGTTTGATCTCTAGTCCAGAGGCCTTCTTCAAAGATTTTACTTGCAGCTCTGCTCCCAGTGCAGACCCTACTCCAGGGGCCTTGAAGAATTCCAAGAAGAACTCTCTGAAAGCTTAGTTAGTCTACAGTGAGGTTTACTACAAGAACCATGGAAAACAATTATTTTTTTACCAACGAAGAAGGGAGTGATCCACAAGTTCCTCCACCTGAATATGAAACTTATCAAGAAAATACGCAAGGTGTTACTGGCATGGGCCATCCACCTAGCTCACAGTATATGCAAGCCCACCCTGAAATTACACCTGACTATGAAGATTTTATTCAACAAGATGACGGGCAGTTTCCATCTCAGTCGACAAAAACTAAGAACCAGGTCCCCCAGTACCATAACAGCAGTACACAGCCTAATGCTTACTACGCAATGAATTCTGGACAGCCATTGATACCACCACCAAATCCATATGATATTCCTGGCTACCTAAACCAAGTATCTCCCCATCAAGCCACCAGTCCTGTAAGCATGAATCGGCCCACTTCCCCACAGGCCATGTACTATGCTGCTCATGCGGGGCAAGTTAACTACCCCATGCACCACTTCCAAAAACCTTCACTAGCTAGGGCTGAAAGCTGCATGCCTACAAGTACTATATCTAGTGCTTGGAACTGCACCCCTTCAAATACCATATCTAGTGCTTGGAATGGCACCCCTGCAAGTACCATATCTTGGGTTGGAAACTGCACCCCTACAAGTACTTTATCTAGGGCTTTTAACTGCACCCCTTCAAATACCATATCTAGTGCTTGGAATGGCACACCTACAAGTACCATATCTAGTGCTTGTTGCTACACCACTACAAGTACCAAATCTAGGGCTGGAAGTTTCGCCACCAGAAGTACCATATCTAGGGATGGAAGCTTCACCACCAGAAGTGCCATATCTAGTGCTTGGAATGGCACCTCTACAAGTACCATATCTAGGGCTGGAAGCTTCGCCCCTACAAGTACAATATCTATGGCTTTGGAACGTACCCCAACAAGTACCATATCCAGCGCATTAAGCCGCACTCCTACAAATACCATATCTGTGACTGGAAACTGCACCATTACAAGAACCATACCACAGGCCTCCACTGGAAAAGTAGTCTCAAATGTTGAGGTGAGTATTTACTAATTCAAACTCATGCACTGTTTTACTCTGTGGTACCTTTATTTAACTACATGTTTGGACTACTTTGCAAAGTTATTTATTTTTTAGCTAGTAACAAATACTTTTTAAATTTCTCATGAAATTGGAAACCTAAATGTTGGAGATAGTTTATTGTTTTATTCAGAAAATGAATACTAGTTCACATTCCTTGTAAATCTCAAATTGCCATGTATAAATGACTATTGAATGAAAAGTTCAATTTTTTTTTTAAAAGTACATTAAGGTAGAAAGTGGTGAATATGCAAATATTTGTTATGCTTGGTTTAATGTCTAATTTTTAATATTATTTATAGTTAACATAACATTGTGGTGGAGTGACAACTGAAAAATGAAGGCCAACATTTTTAAAAGTTGAAACAATTTTTCAAATATTCTTATTTAGAGAATTTCTAAAGCTTGCCACTTTCATTCAATTTTTTTCACACAACTTGTCGATTTAGTTCGACTCACTATTTACTTAATAAATGTGTATTTTTTTTCTATATAGTATATAGTTGTTGCACGTGTAGAACAAATGGGGTTATGGCTGCCCAACAGCATTTCCTTGTGAAGCCTGAATATAGAAACAATGTCCTATTTTATAGTCTACTGATACTTTAACCTATTTTCTGTCAAAATGAACTCAAATCCGAGATAAGGTTTACTTTATCTATTAATAAATAATGGAAAGTTGTAGTTCAAAGAAGCCTCCTGTATAATGTCAATGGCAACATTGGCTCCAAACAGAAGACTGTGACTACTGCAATCTAGGTGTACATGCATCTATGCTGGCCCTAATTTCCTATCCTGTAATTGGAGCTTCTGTATGGTTGATATATAATTGCACTCAAAACACTAGTAAATAACACATTCATATAACAAACTATGACTGTGGTTGATGTTTTTCTGGAGATCTGGACCTTTGTAGCTCTTGTGCTCTAAACATTTCCAAAATAATTAAAAATGTTTTGTTTAACCCAAAGTTGAAAACTTGTTCCTTACATTCACAGGATGCATCAAGCATGAGTGAGCTGAAAGAATTTGCCCAAAATGTTAAAAAGCGGAGGTATTTGTTGGGGTTTACCCAGGAAAACGTTGGGAATGGACTAGGAGTTTTGTACGGTAAGATCAGATCGAAGAAGTTACTAATACATTGAATTTAAAAAAATCTAAGAAAGATATTATTTATATTTAGTCAGTTTTCCCTTATATTTAAAGGGAAAATCTGGTATCTTAATTACAGCAAATATAATTATATAAAATGTATATTATTAATAATTGTTTTTTTAAATATTAATGGATGGATTTCATATTCTATATATTTTGTTTTATAGATACATTCTAAGCCAGAGGTGTAACTATAAAACACCAGACTCTGGTGTGAAAATTGCCATTCCCTCCTCCCCCGTTCAAATTAGTTTTTTGCATTTTCAAATATTAACACTAACTTTGGCCAGTGTTTGTGACCAAGTGGCTACTAAAAATACTGGACATTTGCAATACCTTGGGTTGTCTACTTTTGCAAATGGTATGCCATCATGGGGGTAATTCTTATTCCTGGGCTACCATACAGTCTCAAAGGCAACGTAACCAATCTGGCGAATTTCAATGTGAAAAAACTGAAAAATGTAACATGCTATATTTGACCCTGTAACTTCCCAAAACACCATAAAACCTGTACATAGGGGGTACTGTTTTATACGTGAGACATCGCTGAATACAAATATGTGTATTTTATTGCAGTAAAAGCAAACAGTATTATGACATTCACAGTTAGAATATCAAGTAGAACTACAATAAATGTAAAAACTCTTATTTTCTCCCATTTTTTTACATTTTATTCATATTAAGTTATGTTTCATACCTAAATATTTGATGTTAAATGAAAGCCCTGTTTCCCCTGAATAAAATGATATATAATAAGTGTGTGTGCACATAATATAAAAGAGGTGAATTACGCCTGAACAGACCTATAGCGCAAATTCCAGTTTTTGTTTACGTTTTGTTTTGATCACAATGTGTACATTTGCCTCAGTCCTTAAGGGGTTAAAAAGTAATCAAAAAAGCACTTTTCATATTATCAATAATATTAATATTGTAACGGATTAAGTGATAAATAATAAGCAAGTTTTTATCACATAACCGACTAACAATCCTTTGTTACAGATCAACATTTTAGCCAGACTACAATTTCCAAGTTTGAGGATGTCAAACTGACCCTTACCAATATGCGGAAACTGAAACCAGTTCTGAAGAGATTTTACGATGAAGTTGAAACAAATGCAGCTAGTCGAGAAGTAAGTAAAACAAATTCTAATTTTGAGAGCATGTACAGGGACTTATACTCTCAAGATTTATTTACATCAAGTTGATCATAAATTCCACAATTATCAGCAGTGAAATTAATTGTCCCAAGATAACTATAACCACATATCTCCCAACATTGGGAAGTAGGTAGATGGCCACCAGGGTCATTGTCAGTGACTTGTGTCACTGGCGATGCCCACAATGGGTGAACCTCAGGCTAGTGGCTTCCACACACTCTGTATGATCCTAGTGGCTTCCACACAGCTGAAGAACATCTAACAATGCGTTCTCTCTGTGCTACACAGGGACAGTCCCCTCTTCACAACTGCACTCTAAACACTAGTAAATAAAAACAATTTTGTATCACAAACTATAATTGGATCAGATCATTTTCAAGGAATCTTGGCCTTTGTGGCTGCTGTATTTCAAACATTGTCAACAGGGAACAAATTCAGGACACTTGGACAGGACCCCAAAGGAAGGACAATCTAACCAAAATCGGGACATTTGGGAGGCCTGCAACCCTACAGTTTTTGGATTCAGGATGAGTTCTCTGTTTAAGCCATGAGAATTTCATTGTTCAGTCTACGTGCTGTAGGCTTCAGCTCTATGTAATGCTGTAGAGATCAGTGTTTAGCTTGAAGAGAGACATTGAGTTCAGAGTTATAGCGATATAACCATGATTTCTTAACCACTATTATTATTAATAGCCTATTATCATCATCACTTAGGCTGTGTATGGCATGTCAATGAGAAGCATATCTTAATTTTGCAAAGTAGGAAATGAACATATGGCTAGTGATTTTAATAAATCACTGCTGATATAGTAGATATGATAAAAGGAGGTAATGAGCCCTCTGCTGTGTAATCAATGCACGGTGTGCAGGTAGCTATGGTGCTTGGGGCACTGTTGTGTTAGTGCCCCTTTAACTCTGGGAAATATGCTCATTACAAATTGTGGAATTTATTTCTTTTAAAACTTTTTAATCTATTAGTTTGGAAAAAAAAATAATTCTGTGATTAACATGTCATTATTTGCATTTTGTTTTGCAACCCACTAGATTGTTGACAGAGGGGAAAAACCGAACAACTCTGTAAAAAGAAAAAAACGTACGTTCATTGATGAGAAAACAAAGCAAAAGTTAGAAGAGAATTATAAGTGGTTCCCTCATCCCAATAAAGTGGAAATCGAAAGCATTTCAACAGAAACCCAACTAACATGTGATGTAAGTATTAACGATAAGAAGATTTCGATCAACTACTATGACATGACAATTTACAGTAATTCACTAAAGTGAGAATTCAGAGTGAATTCAAAATAAACTTCAGATTTAAAGGGACACTATAGTCACCAGAACCACTACAGCATAAAGTGGTTATGGTGTCTATAGCCTGTGCCTTTAGGCCTTTTAATGTAAAGACTGCCTTTACAGGTATACAATACACACAAGCACTGCATCTACTACACACATTATGTTCACTACACAAACACACACTCTGAATCCACTACACAAACACAGACACTGCATCAACTGCACACACTGCATATCATAATGGATGTGGGCATGTTTTGATGGGCATGGCTGTGTGGAGGGGATCCATGGATCTAGGCAGCACAATGTGTATACCGGCCTTGACTTAACTGTTATAGTAACAGTGGCAGATCCGTGGAGGGGGCCCCCCACCCCTCCCCCGAGAGATGATGCTCTACCTATCCAAGCGCCTCTCCCTGGCAAAGGTAAGATGGGAGGGGGATCTAAATATTTTTTATTTTAATTTAAAAACAAACACATATATATGTTGTTTTCCTAATCTACCCCCTCACACACAATAACTTTCACATTCACACACTGCCCTCCCCCACATATTGTGCAACCCGCACACTGTACCCCTTTTACATACAGTAGCCCATGCACACACACTGTACCACCTCACACACACACACACTGTACCCCCCACACACACTGTACCCCCCACACACACTATATCCCAAACATACTGTACCCCTCACACACATACACTGAACCCCTCACACAAACTATATACCTCACACACACTGCACCCCTCACAAACACTGCACCCCTAACTTACACAAACTGCACCCCTCACACACACACTGCATTCCTCAGACACACACAAACTGCACCCCTCACACACACAAACTGTATTCCCCCCACGCACACACACTGTACCCCACACACACACACTGTACCCCACACACACACTGTAACCCCCCACACACACTGTACCCCACACACACACACTATATCCCACATATACTGTACCCCTCACACACACACTGAACCCCTAACACAAACTATATACCTCACACACACTGCACCCTTCACAAACACTGCACCCCTAACTTACACAAACTGCGCCCCTCACACACACATTGCATTCCTCAGACACACACAAACTGCACCCCTCACACACACACACAAACTGTATCCCTCCACACACGCACACTGCACCACTCACACACACACTGTATCCCTCACACACACACTGTATCCCTCACACACTCTGCACCCCACACACATTGCACTCCTCACACACAAAGACTTCACTCCTCACACACACTGCACCACACACACACACACAGACACTACTGCCCCTATCCCACTCCAGGTAAGTTGTCAAACTGTTCTAAAACAGTTTGACTACTTATTCTGGGAGGGCACCCCGGCACTCCGTGCACCATACCACTACATAGAGCTTTAGTGGTTATTGTGCCTGGATTGTTCCGTTAAATAATCTATCAGTGCCCATCGTGAGATTAGGTTCTGGACCTGCCACTGTATAGTAATTGTCTTGTGGCAGTCACTTTAACAATGTGTTCTAGAGATTTGAATACCAGCACGCACTATTTGGGTAAATGAAGACTCTAGAATTAAGGCCAGTTGGACATGTTTCCAATGAGGCCATTTAAACCATAGTTTTGTAAGTTTTTTTTTTCCAGTTTAATGCATAATCCCAAATGTTTAATTAGGATGAGAGGCAATTTTTCTCGCTGGTACAAAAGTGAATATTTTCGTGTATTAATTACACATATTATATATTTCCCAAATGTTTTGCTCTGCATAAATCAGACTTGGTACTTGTGAATTATGTCTCTTTAAATGTAAATAATTTGCTAATAATTTGAACACATGGTATATAATAATTAGAATCCTTCTCATAAGATAAATTCCTTTATTGACCACCCATTACTTTCTTTATCAATAGGTTGTTAATACATGGTTCTGTAACCGGCGTCAGAAGGAAAAGAAGGAACTGAACAAATGCCTGAAAGAGGAAGCCGTAGCATCTGGTAATTTTGCTCAACCCAGTTCAGCTCCTAACACAGGAACCTGTGCCATGCCACCAGTGGCAGTACCACAACCCTGCCTAATTGACATGACTGGATCAAATCGTACATCTTATATGGCAATAAATGACCAAAACGAACAATTTATCCAACATGCCATGCAAAGTATGCCTCCTGGAAACTATACTCAGTAAAGCATGTGATATCCATATTCTATTTTTCTCTTTTTATAGATAAACCTCTCTTTCGAGCACTAACACATCTTGATCATTCTTACTTCAGTTCAATGTTGTAGCCTTAACCCTACCACTTCCATCCCATGTCATCATTATTAACTCTTCGTTCTTATCCACACCTTATATAAAATGAATCGCCAATTCCTGCCCACTGCATCTGAAATGCCCCATGTCTGACACAAGGTGTAACAAAAACTCCATGCATTTCCATAGGATCATTTTACACCTTACCCCCTGCATGTTATTCAAACCCCGCTTCCACTCAATAAACTCTATCTCAAGCTGCATTTCCTCTCTGTTAACGACCTTCATATATATCTGTTATGTTTCCAACCTCATCTTCAACACCTTTCAATCTCATGTCCTTTATTGCAGGAATTCTCTCTAGATCTAAAACTCGCTGGACTTCCCCTTAAGACTGTGTATATAGCTGTATATAGATTGTACAGTTGATAAGTAACCTTTCGTATATGTATATATATATATAAATAATAAATAAATAAATAAATAAATAAATATGTCTGTTTGTCTCTTTGTTTGCAAGGTAACGTTTTGTAATGTATACAAATATTTCTTGAGTTGGACTCTTCTTTATTGGCATATTCTGAGGTTCACACCAAACCTTCTATTTTATGTAGGGAGTCTATCCAGTAAAGAGTGGCTTACTCTGAATGTGTAAAAAAGCAAAACGATAAAGTGGTGCAGTGCAATATAAACATTTTTGAACAATAAACAATTAATCATACAAGTATCATGAAAACAATATATTCTGTGCAGCAACCATTCAAAACATTGCAAAACAAACACTAAAATAATATAAAAAGGTGCTCATAAAATATCTACCAATTTACAATATATACCAATGTACATATACAACATAAAATGTTTTAACCACCAATCTTAAAATGGTATAGTGCATGAAAAGAGATAGTGAAGTAGAATGTGTGGTCACAGCAATCTTCAAAATCACACACAAATACTTGTTTCAAAAACACTGCATTTACTGAACGTGCAATCTTTTTGCACAAAGAGATGTAAGAAGGTGCTAGGAGTTTTCTTGGTCTTAATTGCTCTACTACTGTAGAGTGGGTAGGCTATGGGTGCCAGGGGGTCCATGTTTTTGTCAAACACCTTAACTCCAGTCTTTCTTAAAACCATAGACTCATGGCACCTGCATGGCACATGGTAGGTTGTAGAGAGCTTAGATTGCCCCGTTAAAGGGACACTATAGGCACCCAGACCACTTCAACTCATTGAAGTGGTCTGAGTGTCGTATCCCTATTGCACTTAGTGCTGCAATGTTTAACATTGCTGTTACAGAGAAACTGCAATGTTTACATTGCAGCGCTAAGTCTGCCTCAAGTGGATGTCTTCCATTCAAATCGACCTTTTGTCTGGTAACTGACGCTGGGCATACTCACACTCTGCATGAGGACATTCAGTGTCAGATTTTTCCCCTGAGGAAAGCATTGATTCAATGCTATCCTATAGGGAGGTCTAATGCATGTGCGCATTAGTGCCTGCTCGTCACGGGATGTTGGAGGAGGAGGAGCCATGACCCAGTGCAGAGGGACATCGGTGCTGGAATCATGTAAGTAAATAAAGAGTTTTTACAATTTATTTACCCACTGGGGAGGAGGGGGACACAAGGGAGGGGGTAGGCAGAAGGAGCTATAGTTCCAGGAATACAGCTTTGTATTATCTGGCACTTATATTATCCCTTTAAAATGAAGAATCTGGTTCTCATGTAAAATAATGTGCACAAATGAAACAACCCAATCTAAATGTTGTTGGTTTGCATAGGGGTGTCCCTGTTGTACATCTAATGTCAATTGCAAAAATAATTATATATAATAAAAATCAAAGGCAAAAAAAGCTACTTGCGCACTGTGACGGACACCTCCGCTGACGGATGCTCCTAGCGCTTCTCAAGGACCATCAGCACTGAACTTGTCACCACAGGCACTGCAGACTCCACGAACCGCCGTAGTTTGGTTGGGATCTCACCGTCTCCTTCCCACCCTGGGACTCCAACCTCTGGATCCAGGAGCGTGTGGATCTCTCCTCCAAGAGAGTAAAGCTGGGTCTCTCCTGCAAGAGAGTATACCTGGGGCTGTCCTCCAAGAGAGTTTAGCTGGGGATCTCCTCCGGGGGAGTATAGCTGGGGCTCTCCTTCAGGAGAGTATAGCTGAAGAGAGAGAACTCTTACAAGAGCTAGTCGTGATATAGCTGGTATAGCTGTTCCCTACAACATGAGACAAGGCTACAAGTTGAGGGTAAGAAGCACGGCCGTCTTTAAAGCGGGGCAAATGGGGTAGCTGCCCCGGGCCCACTTACTCCTGGGGGGCCCCAAGCAGCTACCCCTTGGGCCCCGCTGATGGCAATATTTTTTTTATTTGCCCCATGGGCTCACCGGTTCTGCGGCTGCGCCGGGAGCCCACACACTAAGAGGGCCCGGTCGGGTACAGTGGCTCTTTAACAGCATGACCGGGCCCCCTTGTTTTACTGCAGCAGGCTTGGAGGAAGTGACTGCCGTGAGTCACGTCCTCCCAGATAGAGCGAAAACGCGCGGGATGGAGGAGGCCGTCAGGAGGGGGCTGGAGTGCCAGAGCCTCACACTCCCTACTACCTCAGCCTGCCACTGGACCCCAGGGAACCCATAAGGTAGGGCTGGAGGGTGGCTTCATAAATGTACACTTTGCATGTGTGTTTGTCAGTAGTATTTGTGTGAGTCAGTATGTCTATGTGTGTATGTGTGTGAGTATGTCTGTCAGGGTGTCTGTGTTTGTGTGTGTCACCATTTCTGTGTGTGTCAGTATGTCTGTGTGTGTCTTAGTATGTGTGTGAGTATGTCTGTCAGGGTTTCTGTGTGTGTATGTCACCATTTCTGTGTGTATGTCTGTGTGTGTGTGTGTCAGTATGTCTGTCAATGTGTCAGTATGTCTGTCAGGGTGTCTGTGTGTGTCAGTATGTCTGTGTGTGTCTTAGTATGTGTGTATGTGTGTGAGTATGTTTGTCAAGGTGTCTGTGTGTGTGTGTCACCATTTCTGTGTGTGTATTAGTATGTATGTCTGTGTCAGTATATCTGTGTATGTCTTAGTATGTGTGTCAGTATGTCTGTCAGGGTGTCTGTGTGTGTCAGTATGTCTGTGTGTGTCACCATTTATGTGTGTATGTATGACAATTTCTTCTCCCCCCCTCCCATCCCAATTTCTTCTCCCCCCCTCCCATCCCAATTTCTCCTTACCCCCTCCACTGACAATTTCTTCTCCCACCCTCCCCATTTCTTCTCCCCCCTTCCCTCCCAATTTCTTTCTCCTCCCCCCCACCTTTGTTGTAGCGTGGCCGAGCCCTGCAGCATGATGGTCTGCGGGTACAGGTTGCTTTTGTTTCCTGTACCCGGCCGGACTAACAGGAAGTGTACACCAAGTGTACCCACGCTGAGCGTTTCCCTCCTGTCAGCCCCTCTCCTCAGGTTGCGCCCGGGCGGTGGGGTCCGCCCTCATGGACGCACCGCCCGGGCAAAGCTGCAGCCGCCTGAGGCTTTCTACAGAGCGCTCGGGCGGCTGCAGCATGGGGGGGCCGGCCCTGAGCGCGCCCCCCCAGATGTTGTGCCCGGTGCGGCCTGCACCCCCCACGCTACGCCTCTGGTATCACGCTAAGCTCACTTGTCACGTCAATGCAAAACTTCTTAGATATGTCCTACACTAACAATTCACATTGCTGTTTTCGGCTATATGGTAAAAAATCTAATGAGACAGCGAGGGGTATTTTTATAAATGCCTACACTAACCTTAATAGGGAAAACATGGGTTGTGTCGCAGTACTGTAACGTGGCTGTGGAATACAAAAGCAAATACAAACTTAAGCCATGTTCTCAAACTCCCACTACTCCTGGGCGGCAGCAATGACTATAGTATACATCAGCCCCCAACACATACAAGAAATCAACAAATCAGGGCCATCCTAATAGTATGGTAGGCTTCCATGCAAACTAGTGAACTGGGGCCCTGCCTATGCAACCACCCACAGGCATACACATGTAAATTATCGATAAAATTAAGCTTATAATTAATAGTACCTCCAAAAAATGTAATACATTCACAGACTGATGAGTATACACACACAGACTGCTAAATACACACACACACACACAGACTGCTGAATACACACAGGCAGATTGCTGAATACACACACACTGCCTGCTAAATACACACAGACTGCTGAATACATACACACAGACTGTTGAATACACACAGATTGCTGAAAACACGCAAACTGCTGAATACATACACAGACAGTTGAATACATACTGACTGCTGAATACATACACACATAGGCTGCTGAGTACACACACAGACTGAGGAATACACACACAGACTGCTGAACACACACAGACAGACTGCAGTGAGGGGTGCAGTGTGTGAGTGATGCACTGTTTGTGTACCTGAAAAAATGCAATACATTCATATACTGCTGAGTATACACATTTAGACTGCTAAGTACACACCGACTGCTAAATACACAGACAGACTGCTGAACATACACAGACTGCTGAATACACACAGACAGACTGCTGAATATACATGCACACAATGACTGTTAAATACACACACAGACTGCTGAATACACACAGACTGCTGAGTATACACAGACTGTTGAATACATACTGACTGCTGAATACATACACACATAGGCTGCTGAGTACACACACAGACTGCTGAATGCACACACTGCTGAATACACACACAGACTGCTGAACAGACAACGCTGGGAAAAACATTCGGCCCGGGCAGTTTTTTAATCACAGTGGCCCACTGCCCACTGAAAAGGGGGTGGGGCCAGATAGGGGGTGTTTTGTCATCCTCAATGACAAGCACACCCCATCTCAAAGTGAGCATGTTGGTTCAATGCTCTTCCAGGGTAGACCATGCGCAGAGCTCTGCTGAAGAGCTCTA